AGGATCCAAAGAGCCCAAAGTGGCAAAGATTCGAGACTTTGTCCCTCCCTTGTAATCAGTCACTGTTTTCTGCTTTTGTTCTTTTATGTTTAAGTTTGGGGGCCACATCTGGTGATACTCAAGGTTTTTTACTCCTGGATCTGTGTTCAGGGCTCATAACTGGTAAATCTAACCAAGGTCAGCCTTACTCAGGGCCAGAGCCCTACCCACTGTATTATATCATTGGGGCCTTATCTGTTTTTACCTCCTGAGCAAAACTGAATCTACTCTTACAAGTTGGAGGACCTCCCATCCCCCAACCAACTGATTTGCATGGTTGCTAGGTCCCCATTGTTTGGTCACGGGGCCCACCCCTGGGTTCTGAGTGGTCCCCTGGGGACCACTTTATACTTCACAACAGAGCTAGGAGCTCTGTGTGAATATGGAGATTAGGCAGAGACCTAGTCTGCTTTTTCAGTTATTTTTGTGGTATGATGTGATAGTGATTTTTTACAGGCTGAAACATGCCTCAGATAATCCCCTAATTCTCATCACCCTTTGGTTATGGGCAGGGGTGCTGTGTTTTACCGTGATGACTTGGCTCACTCTAAAGGCTTTTCTACATGGAACGGAACAAGGAGAAACCGTGGATGCCCTTCAACAACCTCAACAAGCAATAATGTCTCAACCCACCAACTCCCTGGGAAGGACAACCAGGAAGCTGAAGCGATCGAGCCCAACTTCTGAACGTTGCCGCCGTGGTGCGCGCCGGCAACAACCCTCTGCAAGGAGCCCGAGACAGCCCCGCCAGAAGAAAGAAAACCCGGATGGGACCGAAAATCCCCAGCAGCTGGGCCTAGATCTCGGAACAGTGAGGAATACGGAAGAAGACATACAAAAGGAACGGGAAGAGCTAGAAAGCCTGCAAAATATGATGACCACGATGCTCACTAAGGAGAACACCTTAAAGGCAGAGATTGACCTCCTGGACAAGGAGATATCGGAGCAAAGAAAGAAGCAGGAAGTCCGAGACCACTACTTGATGATGGAGAGCACACTCTACGAGAGTAAACAAAGATGCCGCAAAATCGAGGACAAACTGTTCAGCTCTACAGTCAAGATCAAATCCACCTACCAAGCCCGCGTCCTCTACCAGAAAAGGCAGGAAGACCTGTGCAGAGAAATCAGCGACCGGACCTTGGCAACCCGCAAAGAAATCCAGGCAGAAATCAGAAGAAACCAGCAGCACTGGATGTCGGCGGTTCTGGCCCAGAAGGAATTGGAGCAAGTCAAACTCCGGCTCGCGCACCTTACCACCCGTTGTGTACGTTTCCCAAGGCGTTAAGACCTTGGCCCGTCCTGGAAGCCCCCAGAGGCTCCTGACCATCACCCTGATAAGGACGCAACTTGAGATCCCAGCGGTCCTCCACTCGACAGTTCACTCAGTGTCCGTACCAACACCGCAATTGGACACCCCAAGACACACACGGTATAACATCTGCCTGTGTATAGGTTCAAGGAATTTTCAATATCAACGGTTCCTCAATGGACGGTCTCCTCAGTGTCCCTGACAACACCGCATTTGGCACACCTGTTCAAACCACAGAATAACCTCTGTGTTACCGTTCAAGGAATTTTCTTTCTGTTTAATATAGGCCCTGATAAGTTATTATATAATATAGGTAAAATAAATTGAAGTCTTTTATTTCAAAAAAAAAAATCACTCTATATTATTAAGCTTTTCTAAGAACAGACTAGACATGAATAAAAAGCGGAATATTATAAATATAAAAGAACTTCATACTAGGGCCAGAGAGACAGTACAGAGTGTAAGCCACTCACCTTACACATAACAGATCCTCAGAACCCAATAAGCTCTGAGCACAATTAGTTGTGGTCCCACAAAAAAAGCCGTTAGACTAGATTTAAAGAATTTTTCTCCCCTTTAGGAAGAGTAGTGGTGGAAATACTATAGCTCCTTAAAGTAAATAGAGCTGAAAAGAATAAAAAAAAAATGACATATGGCTGGGGGAATCTTCCAAAGAAACGACTCTACACACCCGTACCCTGTTCTTTTCTCTGCCTTTTAAGGTCATGGTAACATGATAGAAAATCTGGGACTCACACCATCTGTCCAGACAGTTCTATCACTGCTCATTTCTCTTGTTAAATAATCAGAGCACTTCACACTTCCAAAACATTGCAACTCTAAAGAGCAGTTAAAGCAGAATGAAAGAAGCCTTTCCTACCCAGACATGTTAGAAATGAAGATTTCTCCAGATCATGCTGGTGAGAAGAAATTCAAGTCGTAGAGAGAGAGTTGAAAGAACAAAAAAATGATTACAAGTCCTAGAAATTACCTTTTAAAAAAGAAAAAAAGGTGACATTTAGATATGAATTCTTTAAGAATAGATACAGGGGCTAGAGAGTAGTATAGGGGTTAAAGGTGCTGGCCTTGCACACAGCTACCCTAGTTCAAATCCTGGCACTGCATAAATGTTTAGAGGACACCCCCTACCCCCACCTCAGAGCACCACAGGAGTGATCCCTGAGCACAGAGCCAGGAGTAAGCCCTGAGAGCTGCTACAAAAAACAGAATGGATTTGGCAGTTTAATACTGAAATAATTACACAGGTTTATAAATCAATAAATTTCTCATTAGACTAAGAGGAGCAATAGTGTTTTACTACTATTAGTACCAGCACAACTACCACAGTCACAACTACCACCACACCACTAACCCACGACCAATATTACCACTACCATCACTATTACAACTACTCTCATCATTGCTACTACTCCTAGCAAAATAGCACCTAGTAACACAAAACCCAAGATACGTTTAATATTCTTCAAAAGCATTTTTTGTCTATTAACTTAAAGCCATTCTATGTTGAAATTTCCATTATTACCCTTATTTTACTTGAGGAAGCTGAGGCACAAGGGGTTTTCTTTCCTATCTCTTCTTTCACCCTTCTGCTCTTTTACCCTTCCCCTTTCTCCACTCCCCTTCCATACTTTCTCAGAACTGAGTACAACCATCATAAAGGAGAACAGTTATTCTTTTTGTTTTTGTTTTTGGTCACACCCTGTGATGACCAGGGGTTACCCCTGACTCTGCACTCAGAATTACTCCTGGCAGTGCTAGGGGGATAAGGGATGTTGGGGACCAAGCCATGTTTGGTGGCATGCAAGGCAAGTGCCTTTCCCATTTATCTCTTCAAGCCCAAGGAGAACAGTTATGCTAGATTCATCTTTATCTTTTTCTGTCAGACTCTGACTAAGAGAGCACTGGGGGCGGGGGGGTGGGAATGCCTAAAGTGTCAAAAATAATACTGCATTCCATCAATTCTGAGACCTTTTCTCCCTGATTATTCTGTGAACCATGCATTTTATTATTACCTTTTCATTAGGAACACATAAAATAATGGGGTATTTTATAAATCAAATCACCTTACATGTGACAAATATGGTAACTTAAACCCAAAGAGTATCCATTATTTAAGCACTAGCCTATGTTGAAACTATGTTAAAAGCAAAAGCCAGGGGGTATAGTGCTGCCAGCAGGTCAACCTGTACCTAAAGGGCAAGGGCATCAGCAGCTTGATGGTGTCTTCAGACTTCCTGATACCCCAAAATTGCCACTGTGCCTTTGACCAGACCCCAACAACTTGGGACCAAGTTTACCAAGAAATTAAATGGCAAAAAATTAGGTATGTGGGAGCCATGGCCACAAACCACCTCGAGCTCAGCTATACAAGCTCATTTATTGACCTTATTTCAAAGACCAATAGATAAATGGCAAAAGAGATCAAAAGCCACAGTTAATCTTGGACCTGCCCATGGCTGAACAGACCAGGGTAAATTGGAAGGGGGAGGGTCGGCCTGGCATCTGCCCAAGCAGAGACCCCGGCAGCCACTTGCTTCCACAATCCAAAATCACCGCCATAACCCTGTCCTGACTCCACCATCTCAGGACGGACCTCACCTCACCTTTCATATAATCTGCTGAAAATTCAAGTGTGCGGGTTTTGTGACTAAAATCTGCAGGCTTTCTCAGGGTCGGGATGGACTACCTCCCTCCCATCTCCCTGTACTTCCTGAAGCTTGGCAGTCACATCCACACCCCAAAGCTGTCACCCAATTAAAAAGCTACTCCAGTCTTATCATCCCAATAAAAATACCAAATGCCCTGAACAAACACCATGATCTCTTAGCACCTGCATTGCAAACCATAATGCACAAAAGGAAAAGGAGAAAAAGAACAAGAAGGAAAGTGCCTCCAATAGAGGGAGGCTGGGGGCTGGAGAGTAGGGGGATGGTGGTAGGGAAACGGGGGACATTGATGGTGAGAAATGTACACTGGTGGACAGATGGGTGCTGGATCATTGTATGACTGAAACCCAACTATGAACAGCTTTGTAATGGTCTGTCTCACGGATATCCAATTAAAAAAAAAAAGTAATGTGGAATTCATGCCCAATTCAATCAGCTTAATCAATGGCTGAATAAACAGCCATACTCCTAAATAATATATATATGTATACATATATATATATTATAAAAACCCAGAGTTAGCTTAGCATTCATGGCCTCACCCCAGTTCATTATGAATTTGCTCACTTAAACTTCACTTCTAACTTGACAATCTCTTTACTGACTCTTACCCGTTATATAAATTATAAAGCTTCTGTAGCCCTGCCCTGGTAGCCAATCATTTTTTGGTTTCGATTCTGAGTGTGAATTTTGTGTTTCTTGTTTTGGTTTTATCTTTCTTATAACTAAAAGGTTTCTAGCCACAAGTCTCTAGATGGACAAACTCAGAATACTTCCTCTCCCTAGATTTTATTAAAAAGCAGTATCCATTTCACAAACATAGCCAGGATCTATAGGTAAGCTGAGAAAGGATTAGCTGAGAATAGAAATTGCAGTCTCTTTTTTTTTTTTTAAAAAAGATATGACCCTATCTCTAATTTCTTTATTTCTCTAGTCCCACTTGTAAATACTTAATTGATTCATACTTAAATTTTTTTCCTGTTCTGGCTTGAGTGCCTCCATTCCACATATGGTCAGACTCTTCATAGAAGAAAAAAACATCAAGTTTTACATCATCTTTTCCCTGGAAAGAAAGTTCCAAGCTGTCCTCCACCTAGAAGAAAAATAAAAAAAACCTTCACAGATTTAAATAAAATCTTTTTAATTAAAAATATTCTTATATTTTAGAGTTGGGTAAATAGCTCAACAGGATAGACTACATACTTTGTAAACAAGAGTCCAGAACTTGATCAATCCCAGGTACTGCCCCAAGCATCACTAGGAGCAACCACTCAATACTGAGTGAGTAGCTTTTAAGCACTGCCAGGTAAAATTCAAGTTGCCCTCCCCTTGTTCATCGATTTGCTCGAGTGGGCCCAGTAACGTCTCCATTGGAGACTTTGTTGTTACTGTGTCTGGCATATCGAATACGTCACGGGGAGCTTGCCAGGCTCTGCCGTGCGGGCGAGATACTCTCGGTAGCTTGCCGGGCTCTCCGAGAGGGGCGGAGGAATCGAACTCGGGTCGGCCACGTTGGCTGCGTGCAAGGCAAACGCCCTACCTGCTGTGCTATTGCTCCAGCCCAATACTATTTTTTACACATAATATTAACTATAATAACTATATATTTTTTAAAACTTGAAACAAAAATTCATATATATTAGTAGTATCCATCATTTGATTTCTCTCTAAAATCCATATAATGTTACTTTATATAACTGACAACAACTGAGTAAAGTATATACAACAGTAAATATTACCACTCTGCGTAACATCCCTGATCTCCTATCCTACTAATAATGGAAGAAAACAAAGGAAAATTATTCCCCTTATTAGCTAAGTAAAACTACCAGAAAATGTCTCCCATTACAGTCAATAAATACTCAAAGGTGGCATTTTAGATGTGTACATATAGTAGGTAATTATATTGTGTACATTAAAAAAGAATAAATAAAAGTTAAGGAAGAGTCATTCACAATAGTCCAAACACAGAATCAATCTAAGAGCCCTAAACTGACAAAAGATAGAAAAAGAAGTGTGGTATTTAAACTCGTGGATCACTGCTTTCCCATGAATAAAGATAACTCAGGTGACCATGCTAACTGAAATAAATAAGGGAATTACTAAATGGTTTTGCTCAGATGTGGAACGTAAAAATTAAAGCAAAAAAAAAACCCAAAAACCCAGCAACCAAACAGCGAAAACTGTAGTGGTTACCAGAGAGAAAACGGCGGTTATGGGAGGAATGAATAAAATGATATTGTAGCAGTTAGACAACACTTTTTTTGGTGGCAGGTACAGAGCTCTATGCTATACCTGGATTTCTATGGTATTGTAAACTAATGATAAACCAAATTCTATGAAAGAAAAAAACAAGCTGAAGTTAAGTCACCCATAAAACAATTCTAAGATCACTAAATTAAAAAATCATATAGAGGCAGGATACATAGCTCAAAGGCCTGGAGCACCTGCTTTAAATGTGAGTGTCTTGAGTTCAGTCCCTAAGCACCACCCAGGAGCAACCCTTTAGCAATGAATGGCGACTACCAGGTGTGACCCCAAAACAAAAAAGGTCCTAAGAGAAAACACAAGAGTTAAGGGGCATCCCTTGCAGAAGTACAGCCCTGTTCATTTACTGATTCCACATGGTACTTAGAGAATCACCAGGTGCAGCACTGAATGTCCCTGCACACCACCAGGGTGACCCAGGTAACCAACAGCATTTCAGGGCCCGAGCACCACATCCTTGGGTCCTTGCATTGAACTGCTGACCTGGTTGGCTTAGTATCGCCAGGCGAGGCACCCAGATCTCCTGAGCACCATTCGGAAACCCCCCAACTAAATAAAAACACTCTTAAAATGACAGAAGAAAAAAATCTTTAAAATAATTATTTCCACTGGGCTTGAAAGCATCTGTCTATTATAATACTAATCATATAATAACTATGGGTTTTTTCTCCTCCCAATTAGTCCTCAAGGATAAGGACTGTAATTTATTCATCTTTTTTACAGGTGCAGAACACAGGCATAAAGTGGTGAGAAATGTTCTACTACTTTAATTTTAAATTCATAGAAGGTATTATTAAGTTTTTTTTAATAAACTGGATTATTATGATGAAGGAAGCAATTTTGTGGTGATTTAAACATAGCTCTGCTTGATTTATAGGAAAATATCTCCCTAGAAAAAGGGAATTAAGAGTAAGGTGATTGCAAGGAATCATGGAAACAGGGTGTAGGAATCAAATTGTCTAAAAGGAAATTTCATCTAAGTTACAATGATCTGTTTCTAAGTGATCTCTGAGAAATTTGTTTTGACCTAGATAAAGCAAAATATGAAAGAAATTCAAGTAAGCATGTTTTTAAATTTTTAAATAATTGTATATTTCTAATTTTTAACCATGATAATATCTCTGTCTAAGTCAAAATAAATTTAAATGATTCATAAAAAAGAATATAAGGATAGAATGTTACTTATAATATTGCTGTATATTATATGTTATAGGCAATCTAATGGCAATAATTTTATCATAAGAGATCAGCCCTTCGCTTTGGGCAACAAACTTTTGCCATACTCATCCTACTCAACATTAGTGATAAAAGGTTCTTAACTATCTTGTAAGGTGCTTAATATAAACCTTTCCTTTTTTGTTTTTGTTTTGGACCCTACAGAGTAAGGTCAGGGCTTACTCTGGCTCTTTTCTCAGGGATCACTCCTGATGGGGCACAGGAAACCATATGGGGCTGCAGGGATCAAACCCAGATCAGCTCCATGCAAGGTATGCACGATCTTAGCAGCCCGCTGTATGATAGCTCCAGTCCCTATAAACTTTTAAGACATAGGGCTGTGGAGTCAGGATACAGTAGATAGTATAGCACTTGGGGGCATATATTTGGCATGTGCCTAACTTGGATTTGATTCCTGGTACCACATGGTTTCCCAAGAATCACTGGATGCATCCCTGGAGACCCCCAAGAGCCACTAGAATTAACCTTGAAGATCCCCAGCACTGCTCTGGTGGATCAGGTAGCAGGGCCCAAGCAGCATCACATCCTCCATCCTTGTGATACAGACTGCTGGGCTGGCCCACGAATCACACATGGGGACCCAGGGTCTCCTGAGAATGATTTGACAAAAATATATGGTACGTAGGAGATAACTCATATTTTTATTACTGACCTTCCCAAATTTGTGTTTGAGTGGAAGTCCTGCATTTTGAAATGCTGAAATAATATCAGATTTGTAGTCTTGTATAAAAATTCCTAGGTCAACATCTTTACTGTAAGGAATAATGTTGCATTGTCGATACCACCCTAAAGAGGAAGAAAAAGAATAAGAAACTTTTTTATTTTATTATTATATCATTATTTGAGTTTTGGGTCACACCCGGTGATGCACAGGGGTTACTCCTGGCTCTGAACTCAGGAATTACTCCTAATGGTGCTCAGTGGACCAGATGGGATACTGGGAATCGAACCCGGGTCAGCCGTGTGCAAGGCAAATGCCCTACCCACTGGACTATTGCTCCAGCCCCAAGAATTTTTTTTTTAAAAAACCTAAGTTCTGGGGAAAAATATTGTTATAATGAATATGTTTAAGAGTGGATTTCATTTCCCAGGGTTATATGTGGGTGCTTTCCTTCAATCATTTAAAAAATTAAATCCCTTATTTAAAAAAAATAAATCACATAGGTCTAGAAGAGAGCCCAAGTGCTAGAGTACAAGATTAGCAGAATAGCTTGTTCGATCCCCGAGTCCACCTTGCATCCCTTCCCTGCCACATCATCACTACAGGTAGTCCTGGTGACCCCTGAATATCGTAGCACTGGCTAGAACACTAATCTTCACTGCAGAGCAAAACATCACCAAGTGTGGCCCTGACTCTAACCCTGCCGGGGATAGCCCCTACAGAAACAATAATAAATTCCCAAACTAATGTCCACAGTTAAGTTAGCCACCGTTAAAAAACTTATCTTTCATCTTTTTCTACTAGTCTGAACACTCATTTTTCTACTACTCTGAACACAAACATTCTTATTTGTGGATTTTAACTTCTAAATAAATTGTTATCTTTTAAAATATTATGAAACTATCCATTTAAAAATGTTAAGTTGGAGTCAGAGAGATAGTACAGCGGTAGGGCATTTTCCCTGCACACAGCCAACCTGGATTTTATCCTCAACATCCCACATAGTCTCCCAAGCACTGCCAGAAATAATTCCTGAGCAGAACCAGGAGTAACCTCTGAACATTGCTAGGTGTGGTCCCCAAATCAATCAATCAATAAATAAAAATTTTAAGTTACTATTGATATTTCAATTAAAAAAGGTTTGAGAAGTTTAATGATAAACCTTTTAAGATGGAGGCTACTTAAATTATGCTTTAAAATATAGTTTAATTATTTTTAGTAGATTGATATTGGCACTGGAATTTCTATGGTTAAACCACATTTAAGGGTGGGCCGCTGCTGGCACTAGCCAACATCAACCAGTACTCCTTTCCTGAGCAGTAGTTTGTAGAAATGAACAGCCAGCTTGCATGTGATGGGCCACTTATAAAAGAATAGCACTGTAGCACTCACTTGTAGCACTGTTGTCCCATTGTTCATCGATTTGCTCGAGTGGGCACCAGTAACGTCTCCATTGTGAGACTTGTTACTGTCTTTGGCACATGGAATACACCACGAGGAGTTTGCCAGGCTCTGCTGTGCGGGTGGGATACTCTTGGTACCTTGCCAGGCTCTCCCCGAGGGGCGGAAGAATAGAACCCGGGTTGCCGCGTGCAAGACAAATGCCCTACACATTGTGCCATTGCTCCAGCCCATAAAAGAATAGTACCCATCTCAATTTTAAGCACAATTAAAAATAATTCTCGGTATTTTACTATGTATCTACTTCACAACTAGCTACTAGTATTGTTCTAAAAATTAATTAATACTTAAATATTATCAAGGATTACTGGATCTCCCCTACTATCCTTCTAATCTTCCATGCAATTTTTTGTTCTGTTTTGGGGCCGCAGCCAGTGTGCTAAGGGCTTACTCTTGGCTTTGCATTTAGGGATCACTCCTGGAAGCCTTGAGGGACCATATCCAGGGATCAAATCCAGACTGGCTGCGTGCAAGCAACTGCCCTACTTGCTGGACTAGCTCCCTGGCCCCTGAATTATTTTAAAAGTAAGTAACTGTCAGCATTTATCGTTACTGAAATTGCTACTAGTTGATACTGTTTGCAATTCTAAATTTCATTTCAACATAGATCTTTGGAGGTATAGGACAGGATTCGACCTCCAGTGTGAGAAGAACACTATAATATATCAATGAATTTTTAAAAATCCAAATGTGTTAAGGAAAGATCCTTAAGAATGGAAGGCTCTGAGGGATGGGAAAACTGAACGTGGCTCAGAGTTGTGTGCTTTGTATGTACAGGAGCCTGTTTAAATGCACCATAAACCCCACAAAGCGCCCCCAAGCACCAACCAGTGTTATTCTGGAGGCCCACAACACTGCTGAGCGTGAGCTAGGTGATCCAGGAAGGTGAGATAACTCTGGTGGTCCCTAGCATTGCAGGGACAAACTTGCATCACATCCTCCGGCCCTAGCATTGAACCGTCCAACCCAACTGGCCCAATACTGCTGGGAGTTGTCCCTGGGTCCTCTCAGCACTGCATGGAAGCCCATAATCCTCCAAAGAAAAGAAAAATGGAAGGCTCCTTGAATATCATCTAACCCAACTCTGTCATTTTATAAATTCCTTTGAATCAAGAAAATCATGGGGCTAAAATTCAAAACAATTAAGGACAAATAATTAAGAAGGAGTTTTGATGGCCCAATCCACAAAACAATTTTGCTCCCATAAGTTAAACTTTAAGATATATATCATAAATATGTGGAATGTACCCTTACTGGGGGACTGACTCTAGCTTCAAGTTTTTTGACAGGAAAAATTATGTAAATTTTCCAAGGTTTAATGTCTAGGACAATTTTCGAGAACATATGATATGTGAGCATACTAAAATGTGTTCAAATATATCTATGTTTTATATGTACCAATATAATTATTAAATTACTATTATATTGTAGCACTGCACTGTCCTCCCTTTGTTCATCAATTTGCTCGAGCGGGCACCAGTAACGTATCACAACAAATTGTGAGACTTGTTGTTACTGTTTTTGGCATATTGAATACATCACGGGCAGCTTGCCAAGCTTTCCGTGCGGGCTGGAGCGATAGCTCAGCAGGTAGGGCATTTGCCTTGCACGCAGCTGATCTGAGTTAGATTCTTCCACCCCTCTCTGAGAGCCTGGCAAGCTACTATTATATTACTAATGGTCACTATCACTGTCCTCCCGTTGTTCATCGATTTGCTTGAGCGGCCCAGTAACTTCTCCATTGTGACAATTGTTACTGTGTTTGGCATACCGAATACGTCACAGGTGGCTTGTCAGGCTTTGCTATGCGGGAGAGATACTCTCGGTGGCTTGCCGGGCTCTCCGAGAGGGGCAGAGGAATCGAACTCGTGTCGGCTATGTTGGTTGCTTGCAAGGCAAACGCCCTACCCACTGTGCTATTGCTTCAGCCCATTTCTAATGGTAATAACATTATATTTATATTTTCATGCTTGAGTCTCTTGAATTAGACATTTACATAGCAACCTTATAAGAGCAAGAGAATTAGCTTTTGTATGCACTGTAGCACTGTCCTCCCATTGTTCACTGATTTGCTCGAGCGGCCCAGTAACGTCTCCATCATGATACTTGTTGTTACTGTGTTTGGCATATTGAATACATCACGGGTAGCTTGCCAGGCTTTGCCCTGCTGGCGAGATACTCTCGTAGCTTGCTGGACTCTCTGAGAGGGGCTGAGGAATCAAACCCGGCTCGGGCGGGCCAGCTGCGCACAAGGCAAATGCCCTACTGCTGTGCTATCACTCCAGCCCAGTTTTTGTATAAATAGTTATTATCATGAAATAACAAGTGCAGTTATAATTAACTATAGCTATAAATAAGAATAGCACAGCAGTAGGGCATTTGCCTTGCACACAGCCAACATGGCCGACCCGAGTTCGATTCCTCCGCCCCTCTCAGAGAGCCCGGCAAGCTACCGAGAGTATCTTGCCCGTGCGGCAGATCCTGGCAAGCTACCTGTAAGGTACTCGATATGCCAAACACAGTAACATGATGGAGACGTTACTGGGCCCGCTCGAGCAAATCGATGAACAATAGGAGGACCGTGACCGTGACCATATAAATAAGAAGGATTGATTAAAAATAGAGCAAAGTTTAAGATTCAAATAATTATAAGTTTAAAGAAGTTTGATCTTATGGACAATAAGCTGCGATCTAGAAATCTTTCTAATTATAACATCAACTTTCCTGAGAACTCCAGCAGTCTGTATTTTCCCATCTCAGAATAAACAGAAGGTAGTAAAGCAGTAAAGCACAAAGAGTGATACCACTGATACCTAGAAAATTTTACAGACGATCCCATAACACTTCCTGTTACTTTCCTCTCATTAGGAACTCTTGATGCAATATATAAGCTGTCTTTGAGATATGGAAGGAAAAAAGAGAATATTTTAAGAAGATCAAGAGCAATCTTTTTGATAGAAATAATAAAATGATAATCAAAGGACTAGCTGGGAAACAAGTATAAACTCTACACACATTACTTCAAATTCCTGACAATTATAAATATGGCCTTCCTCTTTCTCAAATTAATTTATTTAAAGAAATAAACACTTCTTTTTCCATACGCTCTATCTTCAATTAATATAACACTTCAAATATTAATATTATTATTATTATTATTATTGCTTTTTGGATCACACCCAGTGATGCTCAGGAGTTATTCCTGGCTCTGCACTCAGGAATTACTCCTGGCGGTGTTTGGGGGACCATATGGGATGCTGGAGATTGAACCCAGGTCGGCCACATGCAAGGCAAACGCCCTACCCGCTGTGCTATCACTCTGGCCCCAAATATTATTTTTTCATTTCAAGATGTTTTTAATTTCAATCCCTACAACAAAAATGAATAAAATGACAAAAATAAAACATAAACTGACAAGTATTTACCTAGACAAGTCCCACTGCTGAGCCAGAACCGTACTCCCAAGTTGTTTAAAATTTTGGCTGCTAGTTGCAACAATTCCTTTGCACTCTTCCGAAAGGCCATAGCTTCCACGGTATTATCATCAAGGTATTGCTACAGACACAATAAATATTTTTATAATATTAATAAATTACACACAATAGAAATGTTATAACTTCTAAAGTGTTATAAACAGTCCGGTCACATTGATTTTTTAAAAATTATTTACTGCTGGTTCTTTTGGTTGCATTTTATTTCTATTACAAAAGTCAAGTTTCTGAGTTCCCTGCAAGTCACATATCAAAGTCAAATTATAAAAGTAGTTTCCAGAAAGAAAAATTAAAGGAGAGAGGGGCATATAGCCAGGATTCCAAGGGACGAGACATATAACTATCACTCCTTTTTCTACAATACTATTTAGAAGAAGGCTAGTTATGAGCGCTACAGGTACCTGAAACAAAATGCATCCAATGACATTTTCATCATTCACTGATTCAACTGGTCTTTAGAGTCTAGGAAGAGCCTGGGATTTTGAATCAGATTATCTGGTCAAGTCTAGCCCCATTTCTTTTTAACTCTGATGCCGAGCATTGATAAACTCATGAGGAAAATGACTTCATTCTGTTTATCACTGTATCTCCACTATCTATAAGAGAGCCTGAATTTCTGCTAAATAAAAGAACAAACCTTTCTTAGATATAATGTTCTCATCAGTAACTAGAGCATAATAATTACACACTGCAGGACTGCTGTGAAGATTAAGATAATGAATATCAGAAAAATGTCACAAATTCCTAAGTGCTATATGAATATTTCCATTTACTTAGACTTCCTGCCTTCCTGATTTTCTGTCTTTCTGTTTTGGACTTTAATCTTTCATTTTTACTGCTCTGCAACTGAGGGAAGCTCTATAAATTTTTCGGTGATGTTTTATTACCTAAGAGACAAAATCTAAACTTGTAGGCATGACAGAGAAGGACATTTTGTGTTCCGTCCGTGACTATTCTATTGGTCCCTTCTCATCTCTACCCTCCTCACACTTCATACATAATACTGCAATATCCTGTATTATAACTCCCCAAACATACTATAACTTTCTAAGCCTCTGTACCATTATATATGTCACCTCATTTGTCTGAAACACCTTTGATTAACAAAATCTTTCAATTGTCGTATTCACTCCGGATATTCCAAAAAAGAATACGTCTTTATTCTTCCAGTTCAACACTATCAAACAAATAATTATGGTTGGTACTAAATACAGTACAAAGACAGAAAAAGTACTATATTCAATGAGCTTTTAATCTTATCCACTGATACAGATACTCTTACTATCTTCTCAGATTTAATTTGTTGATTTCATTTTTCTTTCTTCCACTAGACCAGTGTTTCCTAAAATGGGTGATACTGTGCTCCACAGCGGCTGGGTACTGGAGCAAATCTGGAGGGCAGCAGTAGCCTTAGAAGCAACTAGAAAGTTCTTCCTGTTTGTCTGTTTAAATGAGATAGTTTTCTTTCTTTTTCTTTTTTGGTTTTGGACCACACCCAGCAATGCTCAGGGATTACTCCTAGCTCTGTGATCAGGGACCACTCCTGGGGGGAATCAGGGGACCATGTGGGGACAGAACCTGGGTTGGCTGTGTGTAAGGCAAGTGCTCTACCTGCTGTCCTAGCTCTCTAGCCCCAAGGTAGTTTTCTAAAGGGGTTCTGAGTAATTCTTGTCTGAAAAGAGGCCATAAATGAAATTAGTTTGGGAACCTCTGCATGGTTCCTGAAGTGTGTGAATAGAATCTCTCCATCACTCTATGTACACCTTTAGAATGGTGCTTGCAAGACATGTAGGAAATAAATACTTATATGTGCATAAGAGATTGGCTAATCTCTTCTTAAATCTGTGCTCATAAAATATTCTGTCATTCTTTTATAATTAGATGAAATATAGTTCCTCAGAGGACTGGACTGAAGGATAAGAAAAAAATACCCTTAGAAAGATGGGAAGTGGATTGCCTTCTCCAGAATAGATAAAGTATGTGGGATCCCTTCAAGATGAAAACATTCCCCCAGGTATAACTTCTCTTAAAACATATGAATAAAGAATGTTCTGATCTTAATGAAAAATGATCCATGCTATAGTGGTAAAAGCCTGAAGTTGTAAGGTTAGTTAGAGAACTAATATTTGGTTCATACTCTGCCAATTATGGCTATTAAACTATCATCCTGTAGATTCAGCTTGTTTCTCTGCTGAAAATAAATATTTGTCTTATTTCAGGGAATGGATTCAATTATATAAGTGTACTTTGGCACTCTGATGGTGCAATAACTTTGTATACCAAAAGCATAAGCATTGCCACTATTATAACCATGTTACTTCAGTTATAAAAAAAATAAGATAAAATGAAAAAGAACAGTACCTTCACACCAGATATCTATTAGTTATAAATGGGAGAAATAAAATGTTTACAGGGGTGAAGCTAGCAGACAGCATTCTAATCAAGTAATCAATGTATCAATAGTGATGAGGAAAATCAAAATCATGCAGTTTTTATTAGGACATGAGAAGAGCACCGTATGAAGACATGACTCCAACATCAAGAAAAACAAAATAAATCTCAAATGAAGGAATTTTACACAATATCTATCTTGTAATTTTCAAATATATTTAAATCATAGAAGGAAAAAAAAAACTTTTCTAGACTGAGGGAGACTAAAGAGATAGGAAAATTAAAATAACATGTGATTCTAAAGTGCTTCTTTTTATTTTATTACTAGTGCAATATTAAAAAACTTTAATTGGAATTAAAAGGTAATGATTTGTGGTCTATCTACTGATTTTTATATTTAAAAAGTATAAAAGAGAATATTCTTTTTAGGAAATAATTATTTGAGATATGGAACTTACTCCCAAATGTTTCAGGAAAAAATATTATTTGTATTATATTTTTAACTTTTCTAGAAGCACATGTTTCTAAAAGTTATTTTAAAAACTAGGAGGCTGCTTTATTAGATGTATTAAATGAATTCACTGCTTGATCAATGCCAATTATTGTAAATTGGCGCCATCAAGTGGCCAAAGCTATGTATAGTACTCTTAATTTGAAAACACTCATTACCAAAAAGCATCAAAATCTTTTTATTGGATGAACAGCCTATTACTCGTGCATTTTCCCCACAATTATAGGATGTTTTCCTTGTGCCAGCTACTGCATTAGAATAAAACAAGATATCTCCCATTAAGAATTTCACATAAGCTAGTTAGGGAAATTTAAGACAAACATTTACAATTCATTAGCTACCTCCTGTGAGCTCAACCCAGTCTCCTCTAAGCAGGAAGTGAATAGTCAAGATCAAGCACCAGTCACACTTTTCTGTTCCCTGTAGCTATGTAGCCCGAAGAACAGGATAGGCAGCACCTGTCCACTAGAGAACACCCATTCATGTCGTTTTCCGGTTTTTCAGCTTTTCAACTATGAGGTTATCTAAGCAAATTACAGATTTCAGGGGTAGAGCTAGGAAGACTCTTGTAGGCTACCAGATAGTTCTTGGAGATCAGCACAACCTGCATTGGTGTGTGTTAAACTCTTGGTCAATGATAATAAGGTCTTCAGACTTTTCTTGGAAGGGAGTCCATGAAAACAAAGAGCTAACGGAAAGAATGGGGTATCAAACCCCATTGTAAATTTGATTATTTTTTCACTGCACCTCTGTTTCAAGTCATCTCTTAGAGATAAACTTTCATGTGCTTCAAAATCATCCTTATATCCCCAGGGTCAGCCGACTTCCTGGAAAACAGGCTTTTCAATAAATGTTTATTGAATGAAAGCAGGAGCAGCAGAATAAAGTAAAGTTCAAAAGCACTTGGTCTTTGTATAGCATTTATCTTTAAAAACCTTCATAAAAGTCACAAAAATTCATTTGCAGTGCCAACCCTCTGAGAAAAACTGTATTTTTCATAAAATCTTTTCTAAATCCACAAGGTCCATCTTCTACAGTGGCTTCATTCTATTTAGATTACTTCAAGAACAGAATATATCATATTTATAAAGTATATGGCCTATCCTAACTGAAAGCAGAAGCCAGTGCTTTCTCTCTATTAAAGCCTATTTTAAAGCCTATTTTAAGCCTATTAAAAAGTTTATCCAAATAAAACAAGGTCTCTATAGATACTAAACCATTCAAGTAAAGAATAAATAGTTAAGATTAATGGCTGATTTAATTTTAAAAAATTAAAACAAAACCATATATTAAAAATGTCCTTTCCATAAATTCCTTCATTTTCACACTGGAAATATGAAAATAAACAAAATTTGACTTTTTAAACGTAGTTAATTCTACCTGAAAGAATGCTCGAGCTTCTTTATACCTGCACTCAATAAACCTCGAGTGTGGTATTTCTTCTAGAAAGTGCACTGGGTCTTTTGGAATGAGAACTTCTAGACCATCAACAGTAAGTGGTTGCAATTCTGGCCTGAAAATAAAAATTAAGATTTATTATAATGACTGAGTCGAGAATACCGACAGCCTCTTTAAGATATAAAACATAAACAATACAAATTATTTTCAAGCATCTTTTCTTTAGTTACTGCATATTTAAAATACCATAGCCAATTGTATTCAATTAAATAAATGGTCACCAGAGTATCATCTTAAGGTAGGGCGAAAAACAATAAAATTCTTCCATGTTTAAAAAAATAAATAAATAAATAAATAAAATACCATAGATCTTTTATAACCTAGGTTTTTCTGCTTCTTTTGTTTTGGGGCCATTCACAATGGTGCTCAATGCTTACTCCTGGCCCTGTGCTCAAGTATCACTTCTGGCAGTGCTCTGGAGACCAAATGTGGTCCTGGAGATTAAATTGGGGTTCACCATACATAAGACAAGGGCCTTAATCCTTTTACTATCTATGGCCCTTAATGTAAGTTTTTAATAAGACAGTGAAAGTGATGACTAAAAGCAGTTGAATTTTATATACTTTGATTAATGTCTTTTAAAACATTTTTAAAGCCGGGTTCTGCAAAGGATTCAGCACCATTGACCATATCCACACGATAACCAAGCTCATTGAGGTTTCTCGGGAGTTCAAGATGCCGCTCTGTTTAACGTTCATTGATTTCAAGAAGGCCTTTGATTCTGTTGAGATGGAAGCGGTCATTGAAACCCTAGCCAGTCAGGGCATTCAAGCCCAATACATCAAGATCCTCCGTGAGCTGTATTGCGGATTCACTACCAGGATTTCACCATTCTACAAAGAAGTGATCGTTGATGTTAGGAGAGGGGTTCGGCAGGGTGATACCATTTCACCGAAACTCTTCAGTGCCACCCTCGAGAACATCATGCGACGACTGGAATGGGAAGGAATGGGAGTGAAGATAGATGGTCGGCAACTACACCACCTCCGCTTTGCTGATGACATTGTTTTAATAACACCAAACATCAGCCAAGCGGCACAAATGCTGGCCGACTTTGACCGTGAGTGTGGAAAGGCAGGACTACAGCTGAATCTTACGGAGACAATGTTTATGAGAAACAGCCTTGTTCCTGACGCCCCATTCGCTCTCAATGGAACGACCATCTCCGAATGCAACAGCTATGTCTACCTAGGTCGAGAGGTCAACATGACAAATGACCTGGCACCCAAGCTGCGCAGGAGGAAGAGAGCGGCTTGGAACGCCTTCAAGAACGTCCAAGAAATAGCTAAGAGGACGAAGAATCTCCGGCTCCAGGCACATCTCTTTGATTCCACTGTTCTTCCTGCATTAACATATGCCTCAGAGACCTGGGCCCTACGCAAACAAGATGAGAACGCTATTCAGGTAGGTCTCCCAAAGAAGAATAGAAAGATCTATGCTTGGAATATCACGTTTCACTCAAATGAGAGAAAGAATCCGGAGTTCCGACATCCGTCGACGATCAAGAATCAGGGAAGCTGTCTCATTTGCCAAGTTGTCGAAAATCAGATGGGATGGTCACATAATGAGATTTAAAGAGGACCGCTGGACTAGAGCTGTTACCGACTGGATTCCACGGGATGTCAAAAGACCGCGTGGCCGCCCACCTACCAGATGGTCAGACTTCTTTGTCAAGATCATGAACGATCGGTTTGAGGCTCTTCATGTTCCCAGAGCGAACAGATGCCATTGGGCTACACTAGCACGCGACATGGACAAATGGAGACGTTACTGGCGCCTGCTCGAGCAAATCGATGACTAACAGGAAGTTAAGTGATTAAGTGATTAAAACATTTTTTCACTATTATGTACTTTAAGGCAAAAAAATTACATGACAAAATAGCACCCAATTCTCTTTTAGGGAAATGTTCTCAATACTTGAAGAAAAAATGAATATCCCTTCCCTTTCCCCCACTCTTCCCTCCCACCCTCCCTTCACTCTTCACTGTTTTTGTTTGTTTGTTTGTTTGTTTTTCTGCAATGATAGGAAATGCATTACAGCAATGCTAGTTGTGGTGTTTTTTCTTTCTTTTTTTTTTCTTTTTTCCTTAAATTTGCAGTGCTAGTTGGGAGTTATACTCTTTAGTTGTAATGCTTATGCACATTTTCCGTCACAGTGCTCACACAGTTGCACACAAGGTTACGGTACTCACACTTATTTAGGTTTTGGGATTTGCCAACGGTTACACAGCAGAATTACAACACCCAGTTGTGGGGCTGGCTGGATGTCACACACTTTAGATGTGATGCATCAGAGATTAAACACTTTATTGCAGCATTAGGGAGCTCACACAGCAGTGTTTCTGTGATCACACTGGGGTATGTCAGAATCAAACTCAGTGCCAGGGATCTAATGCATGGCCTCCCTGGTTTCAAGATTGCAAAAGCATTCTACTGCTGAGCAATCCTTAGGGTCTGTGAATATTTAAGACACACGGGAAAATTACAATAGCCTGAGGGGGTGTCTCATTAATGGGCAAAATGCTAATTTAGAAATTAATCTTGTTTGGGATTCCATATTCCCAAATATGAGTATTTTATGTTGCTTTTTATTAAAAATTATAAAATGTAGAGGTGGATTTTTAAGGACTGGCACACATGCATAGTATTTGTCTATTGACAAAAATTTTATTGAATTACAATTTTTTTTTTTTTTTTTTTTTTTTTTGCTTTTTGGGTCACATCCAGTGATGCTCAGGGATTACTTCTTTACTTCTTGCTCTACACTCAGGAATTATTCCTGGCGGTGCACGGGGGACCATATGGGATGCAGGGGATTGAACCTAGGTCTGCAGGCCTTGTGCAAGGCAAATGCTCTACCCCCTGTACTATTGCTCTGGCCCCAGAATTATAATACTTTGAGTTTAAAAAAACTGGGGGCATGCTCCAAAATGGGACTCAGAAGGCCCCTGTGTCACACCCAATGATTCTCAGTGTTCAATGTGAGGGCCCAAGGATTCAGTGCTATTTAGCATTACAGTGATGGGGATTCCCCAGGCCATCCAAGTGGCACTCACTATGTAAGTTTACATCCATCAAAACTCTTGAACCTGTGCTCAACTTTTTGTAAATATAATCACAAAATCTGCATTCTTTCATGTCTATCTCTGTCACTCTCTGCTGTGGGATTCATCTACATTGTTGCACAGAGCACAGATTCATTTGTTTCCCTGAACTGCAATACCTCACAGTAAGAGTACATAACTTTTTATTTGGGTCATTAAGAACAATGTTGCTATGAGTATATATGTGTATGTATATATATATATGCATATGTATGTACACATATATATTTTCTGGTAACACACGCGCATGAGTTTCTTCCTATTGAATATATACTTTTAAACTGATACATGAAAATTATATATCTCGTTTCTAAGGAGAATTCATGATTGAATAATATAGATGTTACATGCCTTCTTGGGCTCTGAACTTACCTATCAAAAGCTCCAGGATAACGGCCAAACTGTAACTTTCGAAAAGGAACAAATTTTCTGTCAACGTGTCTTTTAAGTCGTAGATGGCCATGCCAGAGGTAGTTGCCACTCCTCTCATGAAAGACCACCACATGGACAGCATGAGAGGCTAATCTGCAGATGTAGTGAAGGGGAATTTCTGTTCCAGAAAGCGAATCTATTCCATCTAGACGGGGATCTTTGCTTTGAATCTTGAGGCACTGAAATCCCATACTTTCAGCTACGTGAAACCAAACTTCCTACAACAAAGAAACATCAATTTTAAATACTTCAGAGCAAATATTAATAGCAAAACTAAATTAAATAAAACATTTTGGAGGTTACTTGCCTGAGCTTTTTTTGGGGGGGCTTTTTGGGTCACACCTGATGATGCACAGGGGTTACTCCTGGTTCATGCACTTGGGAATTACTTCTGGCAGTGCTTGGGGGGCCATATCGAATGCTGGGAATTGAACCCAGGTTGGCCGTGTGCAAGGCAAACGCCCTACCCGCTGTGCTATCACTCCAGCCCCCTTGCCTGAGCTTTTTAAATGATGGTAGTGAGGGAATGGTGGTGTTAAAGAAAGAGAAAAGTACCTGAAAAAGAACTACATACTCCACTAAGGAAGATACTTTATTATTTTAGGAGGAGAAATCACACCTGGAGATGCTCATTACTCCTAGCTCTGTACTCAGGGATCACTCTTAGCATGGCTCAAGGGAGTATGCGGGAGGCTACGGATCAAACCCAAGTCGGGCACACGCAAGACTAGCAACTAATCCACTGTACTATCTCTCCAGCCCCACCAACACTTTGTACAAAAAGTAATCAAACTTCTTTCTTGGAATGAAAAGACTCAATGTGATGTTCTCTAGTTAGTATCTATAAAGTAAATGTTCATAACCTTTCCTATTTTCTCGCTACGCTGAGAGAAATGTTAAATATCTTCCATTTTAGTTTCTTTTACTATAAGAATACATGCAATTTACAGTTCTGGTAGTGAACTCTAAGTTGTAGTTTGACAGACCATCTGAGAAAATTTATGCTTTAAAGAACAGATGGTAGGACTCATTGTTTTCCTTTTTTTTTTTTCATTTTACTATGCTAAGCATGGATGTGATGCCTCAGAGCTATCTCCAGACAAGAGAAATGAAGATAAAACTTTAGTGATGCAAGCCCTAATATCAGGGGGCAGATGAACTAATACTCAAAGTCTTTTAGCCTCTTACTGCATAAGAAAAATAAATTTCCTAGGTTCTTCCTAGAATACAAGCCATTAGTACTTGTATTCTGCTCATTGTAAAGATAGTCCTAACATAATTTAGTAAAAGCTTTCAAGAAAAAAATGTTAATGTGTCACATATAAATTGGGATAATCAATTTATGTACATTTTATAAAAGTACATTATGTACATTTTATAAATCAATTTATGTACATTTTATAAACATTTAACACAATGTTCTATTACTGGAAAGCAAATCATCTTACCTCATTCTTCCATAGGTGATACTGAAGTGCAAATGCAGTAAAGTCTCTTGGAACACAAAAAAACTTGCATTCTGAAGTGGAGCCATGAGAAGAGTTTTTGACTTGTTCAAAGTTTTTGTTAATCAATTCCAGAATCAAAGGATCAATAAGGAACACTGGTACATTTTGGCTGGACATTACCATAATAAACTTTTTAACTGCACGCTGTTTAAAATAAAAATACCCCCTTAATTATTTTAAATCTATACAAGAAACTATTAAACATTTATTCACTGACTTATAAACTGAAAAGAGTCACTGTCACTGTCCTCCCATTGTTCATCAATTTGCTCGAGCGGGCCTGGTAATGTCTCCATTGTGACAATTGTTACTGTGTTTGGCATATCGAATACGTCATGGGTAGCTCGCCATGCTTTGCTGTGTGGGCGAGATACTCTCGGTAGCTTGCCGGGCTCTCCAAGAGGGGCAGAGGAACTGCAAAGAGTATTTTACTCAATGTGCACCATGCTAAAAAAATAAGCAAATGAATAATATACTACCCAAGGTCTTCAGAAATTTGCAATCTACTGAGACATATAAACAAATATTTATAAGGTAGAGTATACTATAATAAAAATACACAAAACATATTATCTAGTACATATTTCTTTAAGTAAAAAGTAAAGTAAAGGCTCTCCCGTTGATCATCGATTTGCTCGAGTGGGCCCAGTAACGTCTCCATTGGAGACTTTGTTGTTACTGTGTTTGGCATATCGAATACGTCACGGGGAGCTTGCCAGGCTCTGCCGTGCAGGCGAGATAATCCTAATAGTAAAACCTGATAGGGATATTACAAAAATAATTATGACACCTCAAACGCAGATTTAAAAAATACTTAACAGTATACTAGGAAATCAATCCAGTAGTTATAGCACTGTAGAACTATAGTATTGTCCTCCTGTTCATTGATTTGCTCGAGCGGGCACCAGTAACGTCTCCATTGTGAGACTTGTTGTTACTGTTTTTGCCATATCAAATATGTCACGGTAGTTTGCCAGGCTTTGCTGTGCGGGCGGGACACTCTCAGTAGCTTGCCGGGCTCTCTGAGAGGGATGGAGGAATCAAACCCGGGTAGGACATGTGCAAGGCAAACGCCCTACACACTGTGCTCCAGCACAGTAGTTATAACACAGTAGTTATAATAGACTAAAAAGAAAAAAAGGAAATATCACTTATATAAGTATAATTTTTCCTAGTAATGACAGGTTAATTTTAGATTTGAAAATCAAAGAAATATACCATGTCAACAGAATAAAAGGAGTAAGTTCTATGATAATTTCAATAAAGTACTTGACAAAATTCAATACTTAACTATGGTTACAAATGCAGCAAACCAGGAATAGGATACTTCTTCAATTTGATAAAAAGTACGAACATAAGATCTATTATTGAAATTTATGAGTTCTTTATCTTTCATCTAGTCTTCTATCAGATGTGTCCTGCTTATATTTCTGGTCTATGGCATGCCTACTCATTGTCTTTTCTTTTCCTTCCTTCCTTCCTTCCTTCCTTCCTTCCTTCCTTCCTTCCTTCCTTCCTTCCTTTTTATTTTTGTTTTGATTAGGGGGTTGGGTCACACCTGATGCGTAGGGGCTATTCCTGGCTTTGTACTCCAAATGGACCTCTAGCCCTACTCAGGAGACTATATTTGTTGCCAGGAATAAAACTGGTGTCAGTGGCATGCGAGACAAGTGTCTTATCCTGGTCCTATACCTCCAGTCCCTTTGTCCCTTTATTCATTTTTCGAGTGGTGTTTTGAAGTAAGTAGCAGTTCTAAATTTTTACAATAACATTTACCAAATTTTATTTTCCTTAGTATTGTTTTGTGTGTTTTACACTAGAAGAATGAAAGAGAAAGAAACTGTCTTGGAAGTGGTAAGAAGACCAACATTGGTTCATCAGTATTAAATAAATGCTTACAGAATAAATCTTTCAAATTGGTGTTGAATACAAATATAGTGAGCACATGTATGGCTTCACTGTAATTATTAACATAAATACAGATGAGAGCAGGGTCAAGAAGAGTTCTATAACACCTTCAAATTATGCCTTCCAGATGGTTATAATCATCAATGCTCCTTGGAAATAGATGGACAAAGGATTCTAAATTCAATTAATTCTAAATAAACATAACTTTAATAATCTGTCTTTTAGTTTTTCATTTTGTTTACAAGAAAGTAATATGTCTTATTGAAAATAAGATACACCAAGACAGTAACACCCTATTCATCTGCCAGTGTACAATAATTTTAACAGAACCTAAAATAGTCACAACTTGTTTGTAGAAATAATCATTTTACTTTCTCTTTTTCATTTTGTTTTTTTAGTCAACACCCGGCAATATTCAAATCTTACTCCTGGCTCTGCGCTCAAGGATCACTTCTGGTGGGACTCAGGGATGGTATGGGGCAACGGGAATCAAACCAAGGGCAGCTGCATGCAAGATAAGCACTCCTCCTGCTATACAATCTCTCCAGCCCCCCTCATTTTCTTTTCTAACTGATCTCGTCATCAGTTTAATAATTTATTCCATAATTTTTTCAGGGATGAATACATTTATTGATCAGAACTTCATTTTTTATTCCTTCCAAAATATTAGAACAAAAATACTTTGGTAACCTTTCAAATGATTTTGCAAATATTACAAGGAGTGATTTTTAGTATTGGGCAATAGAATTAACAAGAAGAACTCAGGGACAGAGACAGAACAGGAGTTAAAGTGTTTGCCTTGCACAATGACAATCAGGGTTTGATCCCCAGCACTGAAGAGTGTCCCTCAAAACCCACCAGGAGCGATTCTGAGCACAGAGCCAGGAGTAAACCGTGAGCACAGTCAAGTATAGTCCCAAAACAAACAAACAAACAAACAAATTGGATATAGTAAGGTATTCTTTAATGTTTGTTTTTAATTTCCTTCCAAAATAAATTATTTATTTTTGGAAACAATTTTTTTTAACCCATTATTTTTTCCCATCTCAAGGATCATTCATTCCTTGAATAAGATGGGGTTATCAATTTTCTTTGAATTTTTTCTTTTCTTTTTTCTTTTTTTCGCTTAAGCTTTTCTTAGCTCTAATTTCTACTTTTAAATATATCAGCAAACTTATATCCCCATTAGCTGATTAATACATTGAAGGTTTGGGAATGTTAACAATATGCTGTCAAGTAATCTAGATAAAGAAGTCTTTTATACTATAGGAGCTATTAATTAAAATTTTTTTTGAACATTTTCACTACTTTATTGTTGCATGGTGATTTGAGAGCCCATTTCTAAAGACTTTCATTTCCCTGATTAAAAAAAGAATAAGGGACATATGTCAACGGATATACTTTGGCATATCCTAAATGGGTACAGAGCAGGATAAATGTAGGTTTTTATTAGTAGTTGAGCTTTGTTGTTCATTCTTAATTTAACTGAAAAAGGGATAAGAAGATATATTTTATAAATACACAGGCTCCAAAATTTGTAAATCAAACCATGTATATGCTGAATTAATGTTACTTTTCCATATCTTTTCTTTTTCCTTTTTCAGCGGATAGCATGAATGCAGCCCCCGACTGCCATAAATTATGCAGTGGAGTTTCCCATATTTCGGGAAATAACAGGGGTCAGTACATTCGTAGTGAAATGGATAGGGCTTGCCCTGGGAAAATCACCTCCAGGATCCTGGTATCTGCCCTGCTAGGTAAGTATACTTTTCTGTATCTTAAAAAGAAGACATACTGAATAGGATATTGATTCCTAATCTTTATTTACCTTAGTCATAATTCAATTCTAATTTGTATTATCTATTCACTGGAGAAGCATCACTGTACATCACTGTACAGTGAATGAAACTTCTGAAGGAAGACAGAATCTGGACTTAGGCACTTAGAGGCCAATTAACCTTAATCTCTCTAGGTGTATTCAGGATAAAAATATGTACTGACATGTTAAAGCTACCATATAAACTTAGTAAGATATTGTATCTGAGGCTATTAGCATATGGTCTGCCTCTGGTCATTATCAGTTATATTCATTTTCCACTAAGGGAATTATTACTATAAACATCAATTAAAAATATTTATTGAATATGTAATCAAATGAACTAAATGAACATTATAAAGTGGAATTTCTGCTTGTTGTACGTACCCATTGCATACTATCAAATCCAATTCGGCTTCCTTTGGTTTTTGATAAGCCAGCTCCATTCTAGAAGGATAATAATAGGAAACTTTATTAACAGAAATCCCAGCAAGGAAACCTTACATTTATACTCCAAAATGCCAGTTTCACCCATTTATGGAATTTTATCAGCCTTAATGGATAATTTTTAATAATACTAGATAACTGGAATATTTAGACTTCAATTCAGGAGATCAAAGAAAGACTTAATGTTTCAAGCTAGTCAGAAGTAATTCTGAGGCAAAGGTCTAATAGACAAAGTTGGTCTTTTAACTCCAAGATAGCAAACCCTCTTCTTCCCTAAGCAATGACTATAGTGCTCTTCTAAAAAGCCTAAAAAGCTTTGTAGTCTTCAACAGTAATACTACTAGAATGGGAATCAAAAACAAAACCAACTTTTCAACCTTGTTACAACTCAAATACACACAAGGGTCTTTCTAGATAAGTTAAAGTTCAAGGATAACTAGAATCAAGGTTTTTGTATACTGGTAATACTGATCTATCATTTTTTATTGATCAAGGCTATCACTTTTTTAATAATCTTTTACTGACTCTTGGGAGATAGCTCACAGGGATGGAGTGCATGTTTGAGTCTTGAGTTAGAAACCATCACATGGGCCCCCATTAAATACTGCTAGGTAGAGGCCCGGTGTAACCCTTATGACCCTTAGCACTGCTACCAAGCCTAATGAACAATAGCCAGAGAGACCCCCATCCTTCCAAAACATAATGAATCAAACCCAAAAATCCCTATACTCAGAGATGGAGATGGAGAGGTCGTACAGGGTGGATCTCCCAGCATCACCAGGAGCATCCTTGAACACAGAGCCAGAAGTATGCCCTGAGTATCACTGGGTGTGATCCCAAAACAAAATAAACAAAACAAACCCTATACTCTGCTAACAGTTCACATTTAAGTTAATAGTAAATAATTACTGTGTGAATTTTCTTTATTTAAAAATAAATAAAAGGGACCACAGATATAGTATGGGGGCTAAGATGTTTACTTTGTATGCGGCCAACATTGGTTAGGTCTCTGGCACCCATTATGGTCCCCTGGGACCCCGGGACTGACCCCAGGAATAAGCCTTGAGCACTGCCAGGTGTCCCAAGCACTTGCCCCTTCTTCCAAATGAAAATAAATAAATATATTGTCTACTGGACAAAGAAAATCAGATTTAGATACAATCAGTAAACAAAATTTATAAAATTCTGGGTTCTTGTCCTATGTTAGGAGAAACTGAGGGCTTTGGGTAATGTGGTGGCAGGCTGATGCAACAACTTTTAAAAACACAAACATTAACATTATTATAAATCATATTACCTTAATAATTAAATTAAAAAATAGAATACTGAGGATGAATTTTTACTTTCCTAAAATTTGAATCAAGAAAACACTATATAGAACTGGAGAGATAGTACAGTGGGTGGAGCACTTGCCTTGAACGTGACTGACCCTGTTCTATCTCTGGCATCCCATAAGGTTCCCTGAGGACCGCCAGGAGTAACTCCTGAGTGCAGAGCCAGGAATAAGCCCTGAGCATTGCCAAGTGTGGCACAAAAACCAAAAGAGAAAAAGAAAACACCATACAGAAATAGTACAATAGTAACCTGACCTGGGTTTGATCCCCTGAAATCCATGTGTTTCTTGAGCCCCACCAGGAGTGAACTCTGAGCACGGAGCCAGGAGTAAGCCCTGAGTACTGCTGGGTGTGTGCTCCACCAAAAATAAATAAATAAAATTTAAAAAGGAAATAAATCATTACACACAAATATTATCTTAGAGCTTTACATGAAGCAAAAATTTTAAATTTGTCCATAAGAAAAGTCAACATTTTGGGGCTGGAGCGATAGCACAGTGGGTAGGGCATTTGCCTTGCATGCAGCCAACAATGGCTGATACAGGTTCGATTCCCAGCATCCCAGCATCCCATATGGTCCCCCAAGCACCGCCAGGAGTGATTCCTGAGTGCATGAGCCAGGAGTAACCCCTGAGCATCGCCGGGTGTGACCCAAAAAGCAAACAAACAAACAAAAAAAGTCAACATTTTAAAAAGTTGGTAGCTTCATCTTCCAGTAGTATACTAATCCTACTATTTTTAAGTAAGCATTTTTATCCTGATAAGGAAGTAGAGTATTTTTAGATCATAATTTCCCCAAGACTTCATAGCTAATAAGTAGAACAGATGAGAATTAATCCCAGACTGGAATTTATTCTTTTAACAACTATGCTTTATTGTTTCCCCAGAGAAAGAATCAAAACAGGAGTCATTTATATGAATTTAACATATAATTAAGATGAGTTTTTGGTTAATGGGGCATTGAGTGAGTAATACTGACATAATTTGTTAATCATTTTGGAAAAATTAACTTAGACATCAAAATTGTATCTTAAACTAGAATTTTATTTAAAAAATTTTCACATAAAACAGTATTTGATGAACATGTACATTAATATTCCCACAATCTTGGGTTATTTATGATGGGGTTAAAAATCAAAGCCCCCTAGTAAGAGCAATTCTTGTATCTGTCTACCTAGAAATTAAGTAGTAACATATCAAGGAGGGAGTATCAAAAAATATAACATCAAAACATGCTATAAAGTTAAGTGGCAAATTATAAACCAGGAAAAATACTTGAAAAAAAATATATACATACATATGATAGAGTTTACTAGGCTTAAAACAACAAAGAACAGTTTCATAAATAACACCAACAAAAACATGTGAAAGGATAAAAAGAATAAAAAGCAAAGAGCGGCTTAACACTATTAATAATCAATGACAAATCTCTAATGGAGTTTAATATTTTAGCTTCTTAACATCAAAAACACTAATATTTGTGTTTAAATTCTCTGTTCCCACTTAACTGTGATACTGACCAAATTAAGAAAACTTTTTAGGGGCTGAATCAATAATATGAATAGCAACCAGGTTTGATTTCTGGCAATGCATAGTCCACTGAGAACCATTCAGGTCATTCCCAAGCACAGAGCTGAGAGTAGCCCCTGAGCACTGCTAGATGTGGCCTCCAAAACAAAATAAACACTCTTACCCAAGTCTAACATATTTCTGGGAAAATGGGAACAAAAATATGATTTACTCAGATTCTTGAAATAAAAATTAAAATCATGTCAAGTGCATGCTGCCCACGTCTACTAAGCAAACCAAACATGTCTGTCTAGTCGCTTGGTTGACCCCACATTCACACCCCAATTCATTCTCTGTTGAAATCTGGCCACAAAACTAAAAACAATACCGACAGTAAACACCTGCTTTCTTAGATTCCCTGATAGCTGGAAAGTTTATGACTAAAGTACAAATGTAGAATCCTGCCAATCTGCACTACTTCATTTTCTAGTTTTGACTGCCACATAAGGAAAATGTCAAGAGAATTTTAGAAGCCTTGGTCTTTGAGATTTGTTTATGGTATGAACCAAAAGCATCTTGGATACAGATGCATTACTATTGCTCTTATGCTGTTATCATTTCCATATTTAGAAAAAGTACAGGAAATCAGGCACACTTATAATCAGGAAGAACAACTGCAATATATAACAAAAATCTACAATGCAGGTGATGGGGAAAATAGTACAGCAGGTGAGGTGCTTGCCTTGCAGTCAACTAAGGGTTTAATCCCTGGGCACCCCAAATGGTCCTTGATCCCTGCAAAAAGCCAGGAGTAAACACTGAGCACTGCCATGTGTCACCCGAAAACCAACCAAACAAACAAACTACAATGTGCATATTTGACCCACAGGAGCAAAGAAAATAATCTATTAAAGGAACTAAGAAGATAATGAGGGATGGGTTGAAAATGTTACACCAAGAGTTATGGAATAGCCAAGACAGCTGGAAACACTTGCCAGTTTTGTTTGCTTGCTTTGTTTTATTGTGATTAACTTGTATTGATGTCTATATTTTGGCTTCCCAGTGGTGCTCTGGTACCTGCAAGTCACTCATGGCAATATTAGGCCCAGAAGTGTGCATCTGACAGCAAGATGGTTTTAGAGTACTACTCAGTCCCAGCAGTGCTGGGGGCTAACAAGGCTACCCCAATGGTGATCAGGGAGTCATGCAGTGTGGGAGATCAAATTACAGGACTATGTTCCAGGCCTTTGAACTATATCTCCCTGGCCCCTTGACATTTTTTAATAATAAAACCTGGAAGGGCTGGAGAAATAATATAAAGGGTAAGGTGTTTGCCTTGCAGACACTGACTCCAATTCAATCTCCAGCACCATATGTGGTTCCCTGAGCAATGCCAGGAGTGATCCCTGAACATAAAACCAGGAGTAAGTCCTGGACAAAGCTGAGTGTGTCTGTCCCCCAACAAAAAACAAAATGAAAGATAGCCTGGAAAAAAAAAAGAAGCTAAGCATATTAGCTGCTAAAGGACTGAAACTGGATGTCTGGGTAGGTAAGTTATCTAATATTTCTGCGAGTTTCTCTATATACAGATAAAATGAGTTTAAATACCCCATATTACACTGTTTATACCATAACAATACTGAATAATAAACCTCCTCAATCTTTCTTTTTTGAAGGGTTGGGGAGACAACACTCTTGGTAGTATAAGGACCATGTACTGTCAGAGATCAAACTGAGAGGTTAGGCATGTGCTATAGATCTTTGAGCTTATCTCCCCAATTTAAAACTATTCACACTCTTATAGACTCATACAGTTATTCTGTCCTTCAAAGTCTATGAGAAGACCTCTGCCTTCTGCTCTACCATTCCAGATGAGGCCTCCCTCCAGCAGATCAATGGGACTAATCCAGTGAGAGGTAGAGTCCCTTTCATTCAATTAGCTCCCAGCAGCCTCCAAACCCAACTTGAGCCATATACACAGATTGACACCACAGCTCCTGACTTTCTGCCTGGTGCTCCATCATTCCAGGTGAGGCCTGATTCTAGTTGATATCACTGGGATTAATCCCATTCGAGAGGTAGCATCCCTCTGGCTAGTTCCCAGCAACCTCCACATTTCACCTGTACCATATAAATGGGCCTACATCACAGTTCCTAAAGCACACCCTTGACAAATCTACTCAATAAATTACAGTGCTCACAGTTATTCTTTAATGTCATTTGGTGAAGATGGGCAGAAAAGAAAGACAGCTACCTAAACTAAATTCCTCAGCATCTCCTAGAAGACTAACTACGAAGACTCATTCCCAGCACAGGAAGAACACTAGAAAATGAGAGAAAACAGTATCGCCGAAGACATAAACAATACCAGCAAATCCTCAATGTCTTTAGTGACACTATGATGATGATGGTCAACAAATTCAAAAAAACAATAGCACAGGTTGTCAGCAAAGCTCAAGAGGGTATAAGAAGCAAAATGAAGAAACTGCTACAGTAAGAATACACATTCTTCTCCAGTGCACATGGAACATTTCCCAAAATAGAAACTACTACAGTAAAAAATGACAGAAATGAAGAACATGATAGGTGATATTTAAAAGAGTCAATAAAGTTCTGAAAAAGCAGAATAATAGAAGCTGAGGAAAAGACAGAGGAGCTCCAAGATGAGAAGGAGGAAATGGCTAGGAAACGACAGAAAGTGAAAAACAGTCTGAAAAAAAGGAACAACATACCAGAGAACTATGGGATGAGCTTAAGAGGAGCAATATAAGAATCACTGGAGTCCCTGAAGGGTAGAAAGGCAAAAGTTAAAGAAACTATAGATAAGAACTTCCCAGAATTGAGGATTATAGGCACCAAGATCCAAGAGGCCCGACGAGTCTCACAGAAAATAGATTCAACTAGGAAAACTAGAAAAATGGCACTCAAAAACGATAAAATCCAAGCAGCAAGGAAAACCCATAAAGATGAACAACAGATAATTCAAATGAAACTCTGCAAGCCAGAAGAATATAGAAATATACAGCACAAAAACTCAACGAAAGGTGTTCTGGATGAATATCTCACCAAGAATACTCAATCCAACTAGATCTGAAGGAATGATACATAGCTTCATGGATAGGCAACAGCTAAGGGAAGTCACAGCACTGAAACTAGTTTTCCAAGGCACATCAAAGAGCTTCCCTAGAACAAACTTCCTAACACTGAGTATAACACTAAGAATGCATATGGTTGCCTTCTACTAGATTCAGAAAGGTATATTTACTCCTAGCTTGCTAAGAGATTTTATGTATTTTCAATAATGAATTAACATCTATATTGATTAAAATAATTTAGCAATCAAATATATATTGACTTTTAGTGGTATATTTTTCTAATAATTCCACTTGCTATACCTTTAAGTTTTGTAGGAGCAAGTCATATGAAATAAATTTATTATATGCCTGCTAAGGGGGCAGGCTGGAGGGTGGGAGGGAACCTAGGGACATTGGTGGAGAGAAGGGAAATACACAGGTGATGGTAATGGTGTTGGAACATTATATGCCTGAAGCAACTGTATTATGAAGAACTCTGTAAATCACAGTTAAAAAAAATTTAAAGAGAAGAAGGAAAAAAAAATGCTCTATGAATCAGCTGGGTTAGTTACACTTTGGTCTATTCCATACCACTCATTCAAGTGACTGGGCTGGAGAAGGGCTAGCAGCTATCCAATGCACATTCTTCTCCTGAGAAATTGGGCGCACAAAAAGCAAGTCAAATCAAAATAGCCCATTTGAAGTCTAAATATGTTTATTAACATTCATTTCTCCTAGCATCTCATGAGAAAATTCAACTTTGGAAAGAAAGCGTTCTTCCTTTTAATGTGAGAGAAATGTTAGTATTTATTTCTGAAGAGTAATTCTATCAAATCAGGATTTAAAAAAAAATAAATACAAAAACCGTATTTCCCCTGGGTAACTGGTTTTTATGGTTAAATCAAGCATGGAGTATATGTTGCACAATTCTCAATAATTAGCAACTATTATAATTAGCCCCACTGGGAGTGTTTGGTAACTTTTCACAATTGACAAATACATTCTCAACCTTGTGGATTAGAGAAATGAAGTATTTCAGTGTGACCTTCAGAAGCCAAAATTTTCCAAATCACTGTTTTTATTTCTTATGCCCATAGGCTACTGTAATGCTGTGTTATAATACTGGACTTTACTGTGTAATTTTTATAATATTTAACTGCATTTTGTTGTTGCTGTTTGTTTTGTGGTCACACCAGATGTGCTCAGTGGCTACCCCTTACTTGCATTACTCCCAGTATAATGCAATTAATTGTTCTCAATGTCCCACAAAAATAAGAATCTGCGTAAGAAATATCTTGTAAGAATTTGAAAAACTGGTCTTTTGTGTTATTTAAAACATACATGTTAAATAATATTCAGGTAAAATATTAAATATTCAGATAAAATAAAGTTAAATGAAGAGAAAGGAGAAAAATATTACCTTTGTTGATAAATAGTTCTTGTAGTAGTACAACTGAAACAGCAGAAATGCTGAACTGGTCAAAGTTAAAACGGCCAAAATCACGTTCTTATTGATCCTACTCATTGGTCTATGGTGCTCACTCGGTTGTCATTTGACAGTAACCCAATTGGTTTCATCTTTTTGGATAAGAAGATAATCTTTTCTGTGAACCAATATTATTTCTAAAGAAACAAAATAAATTGTTAAAATTTTTCATATATAGTATTCAGCATAGAATAAAAAGACGCCTAAAGTTCTAAGATGAAAGAACAAAACTCTTATCACTAAAACCTGAAAATATAAATGGGAAATTTATACAAAATCATCACAGACTGGATAGTCTCTTCCCCAGAGTTGAATTCAGCAGATCTGGTATAGGGTCTTTGAACTGGCATTTCTAAAATTTTGATGACAATACTAAAACTCACCATCAAGAAAAAAAAAAAAGCTTTGTCAACAGACATTATATGTGTCAGAGTTCCTTGTTTTGTTTTTATATTTTTTTGGTGTGACCTAGGATGTGTTCAGTTCTCATAAATAGATGGTGTATTTTTTAGTTTTTAGCAAGTATAAAAAATGTTATGACAAAAGTTTTTATTCATAAAAATAAAAGAATTGGCTCCATTTATATTTCTTTAGGACACTGCGTTTAAAATAATTCTATTTCTTCTTACTTTCTGCTGTTTAGTTTTGGTTAAACATATTATAGGTAGTTCCTAAAATATATCTTTATTCCTTTAAATATACTAATACATCTATTTGATGTCGAAGCTTTGTCTTTGTTCGAGTCATAAAATTAGAGAAAATCAGCAAATTTATACTACTTCCTGCCTTTTGTCTTTCAGTTTATTAGCTATTTCTACCATGTTATAATTCTATGCTGCAACTGCAAATCTCAAAGCTAATTTTGTTATTTCTCCAGCACTACCTTTCAACTCTCTTGCTCTAGCATATGTACCTACTGGATAATTTTGTCAGTTTACCAAAAGAATTTACGTGTACTATTTACTTTGTATGGTTTTAAAAAATAGTCATCAATTAATATGGGGCCAGAGCGATAGTACAGTGGATAGGGTGTTTGCCTTGCATGCGGCTGACCCGGGTTCAAGTCCCAGCATCCCATATGGTCCTCTGAGCACCGTCAGGAGTAATTCCTGAGTGCAAATCCAGGAGTAAACCCTATTCATCGCCGGGTGTGACCCAAAAAGCAATTAATAGGTTAAATTCACATTTTCCTTCCCTTGAAGATTTATAAACCTATGTCGCTACAAATATTTTTTGGCAATATCTGATCCTGTTCCACTCCCCTATAGGAAGTCCTTACCTTCGATATTTTTAAAATTAGGATTATATAATGATGTCAGTAACTATATACACATTTTCCTCATTATGTTTTTAGTATGCAGAATCGATTTCTTTTTCTGTGGAAATGTTACATGTTGGAATATTTTTCTGTTCTAATGTTGAGTTCTCTATTTCCAGAACTAGAGTTAAGCTTTTGTTTCATCTCTTTTTATTCCAGTGTCACTTTGCTTAACTTCGAAGAACTATCATCATATCCTTTCCTGGGTTTTAAACAATTTAATTCTCCTTTTGCTTCTAATATGGTGTTTTATTTCTCTGGGTTTAATTTCTTGAGCCTGTCAGATTATAATTTACCATATATTGTTCTCCTATTCATTTTACCATGTCTTGAGCCTCCTGAGCCTTTTTCTTTTCTTTTTTTAATTTTATTTTTATAAAGTTCTTCACAGTAGTTCATTACAGATAATATTCAAACACCAATCCCACCACCATGCACCTTTCCACAACCATCAGAGGAAAGTGTGTGAAGATTGTTGTATTTCATCCTGGAGCCACTTAAGCCCTGGTATGAGATTATAAGCAAGTATGTTAAGCCCAAACATATGTGTGCTACTTTTGGTACATCAGTGGGCTACAGTATAAGAGGTTGCAGGGCAGCATTCACAGCTGTGCGCTCCAGGACATTGTGTGTCACTCTCTCCCGGAAGCTTTATTTCATAGTCTCTGGATCTTGGTCATTGGTGAGATTATATGGCACCAGAGGCAGTTTGTGGGTGTGACTGCCAAGCTACTGGAAAACTGGGAGCTGTGGGAGGAGACTCAGTCCTGTTTTGAGAGCTTGGAGATCTTAGTCACAATTCACACACCTGGGTTTTTCTGCAAGTTCCCCCTCAGGTGAGGCTTGTCTCAGCCTGTGGAGAGTGGCCTTGAGCATGGCTGCACTGTTGGGTTCTAGAGGTTTTTGGCTGCTGAGGTTCTGCTGGGATAGGGAGGAGAATTCAACACCCCCCCCCCCCCCCGAGTTGCCCCAGTGAAGACAGCTTGGTGCCAGGGTCAGGAAGTTCTATGTTGCTATCTTCTGGGAGCTTTATTTCATAGTTACTGAGTCTTATTTTTAAGAAGTAATTGTTTCATTCCATTTTTTTTCGACCAATATAGTTTTCTCAGGGGTTCTTTATCATTAGTTCTTCCTTTTCCTTTTCTTCTTTCTTCTTATAGCATTGCTGCACAGATATCGTGTTCATTTTCTTTTTACTATCACTTAATCTCTGAATGTGTAAATACTACCTAGATTAGTTATTTGCACGAGGACTGCAGAAGGAAGAAACAAGGCTGTGTTCTGGACTAGACTCTCTGACATACAAAAAAGTAATGTATGAGAGTATTATGTGCATATGTATTTGAGAGAGGAAGAATATTAATTAAGAAAAGGCAAGAGAAACCTGTTTAATCATTACTTTTTATCCAGATGTCAGTGACAGGAAAGAAAGAGTTACTCTACTTGGTCTCAACAAGTGTGCTGTTGAATTTGCTGAACATCAAAGTGTTCTTTCTCATTTGCTCATTCTTGCTAGTCATACTATACAAAATCTAAGAAAGAACCTCCCACCCCTACTTCCTATGCAATATGATCTTAGTGTAAACAAAACTGTTGTCTCTCTTTTCCCGGTCACCTCTACCTTCTTTCAATCTCTTCTGGCTTATATAAAATCATTTTCTTAAATAGTTCCATTTGTGGTTACAGGACATCAAAACTTATAAAAATATAATTATGCATCTTCCTCTTATTCTACTTGTTTCAGAGTAATTTCAGAGTATTTCTTTAAGAGGTCAAAAACATCTTTGTCTGCCATCTTAAAATAAGTCATTTGTCTAGTGAGCTGCACTGCCCCCTGCCTTGAGAAGGGTGTTGGAATAAGGAAGGTGGTAGTAGGCTTAGGTACATTGTAAATTTTTTTATAACTAACTAAAGATAGATTCCTGGGATAAAGTGGGGGAAGGGGCACTAAGTAGCTGTGTTTTGAAAGGGGGGCAGTAGGTCAAATATGTTTGGGTAACTCTGTCTTGAAGTTTTTAAAGCCAGGGGCTGGAGAGATAGTATAGAGGTTAAGGTGCATGTCTTGCATGCAACCGAGTCTGGTTCAGTTCAGGCATTACATGGTATAGGTATTGCCAGGTTCAATACCTGGAACCATATGTACAAACCATAGTCATGGAGGCCCCAACCACCACCAGGGTGCCCAGGGTAAACTCTGGCATCGCAGAGCACTAGCAGCATCATATCCTTGGGTCCTCACATTGAACCGTCAGTCAACAAGTGGATCCCAGATTCTGAGTACTTTCTGGGATGCACCCCCCAAAATAAATAAACAAGCCACATCAATTTCGAGAGGTGACATTTATATGAAGAAAACACTTTAAAAATGGGTAAACAAATTACTTGAGAAATAATGTCCACAATGATGTAAACAACCCAGTAGGTCTACAGAAAAATGTACAAAGATAACTAAAGCATAAATCATTTTCTATTTGCTAAAACTATGAAGACCATGATCATACAACAACATTAATGGTATTTCTTTTTGTCAACTAAAATCTGCCAAAATGAAACAACATTATATGGAGTATGAAACAAAGGAGAGGCAACTAAACATAAAGGTCTTTACTCTTTTTATTGGGAGGTGTGGGGAACACCTGCAAGACTCAGGAACCATTTTCAGCTCTATGCTCAGTGCACACTCCTTGCAGTACTCAAGGGACCAGAAAGTGCTGGGGATCAAACCTAGGCCTTGTGATATAAAGTATATGCTCCAGACTATGTGCTATCTCCCTAGTCCCCTATTGATTCTGAATTATTATCAGTCAGTTTTAAAATGGCTAAATTAAAACAATGTCCAGGGGATGGAGTGATAGTGCAGTGGGTAGGGCATTTGTCTTGCACGCAGACGACCCAGGTTCAATCCCTAGCATCCCGTATGGTCCCCCAAGCACTGCCAGGAGTGATTCCTGAGTGTAGAGCGAGGAGTAACCCTTGAACAATTCCAGGTATGACCCAAAAAGTCTAAAAATAAAAATTAAAAATAAATAAAACAATGTCCAGTTATTGTTTATAACCAGGTCAAGCAGACTACTCTCCATCCCCACCTTTTTTTAAATTGAATCACCCTGAGATACACAGTTACAAAGTAGTTCATGATTGGGTTTCAGTAATGCAACGTCAACAAAACTACTTTTGAAAGATTTTATTTTTAAAAGCTATCTTATAAAAGAACCAATGTTTCCAACATTTTTAATCAAGAAATTCATGACAAGGCAGTATCTAGAGAATCTCGCTTGTCATAATTTGTCCTGTCATGTTAAACTATCTCCTCCCATTGATACTCCATTCCCTAGCCCATTCATTAGATCAAGAATAAAAACTCTCAGGCTATTCCATTTACTCTAGAACCTTTAGGAATGTATTTTCTCCTTATACATCTAATTAAATTTATTCTTTTTAGTGATCTGTACGATAATTTTTAATCAGCCTGAGAACTGAGGATGGTAATTTTTCCTCTACACCTACCAAAATAATTTTCAGTTGGTGTGACCCAAAAGGTTATCAAAGGATGCTAATCAAGTGTACCCAAATACTGCTTATGTTCCTTTTCTTTCACTACTAGTTTGCTTTGAAACAGTGAGGGTTGGGATTGAAGGGAAACAGCCTGGAAGATTAGACTATAAGGGGATGAAGTCTCTTGATCTGCTCACTACTAATTCACTTAACCTTTTGAAATATCAGATCTCAAATGCGGAGGTACACTGAGCATCACCTTACTCAGGCACATCTTCGGACGGCACTGATAGAATTTGTCAATAGCAGTTGATTTTGAGGCCACGTTCCTTGAAGCTTAAAGCCAAGAAATCAATTCCTGGATTTTTTTTCTTTTTGTCTTCTTTTCCGGAGAAAACTTATAAGACGTTCCTTCCTCTTTGTGGGGCTGTACAACCCAGAGCCATTCTGCTTGGATATTCCAGCCTTATAAAAACCGCCTGCACAGGTTGACGCTCAACTAGGACTATCTATTCCTGCCAGATTTGTCTTCACCCTGGCTCTCAACAGACTCGTCCAGGTGATTCTGAACTGCCTGTCCTTGTTGTACAGCTCAGTCCGGCCTGACCAACTTTCCACATTCTCTTTGGATGTTCCATCCCAGGCTGCGGCTGTGCTTTGCAAACCCACTATCTGGACCAACAGAATGTGCCCTGGCCATCTAGATTTCTTTTCACCTTCAAGAAAACTGAGATGGCTCACGCAGCAGGAAACAACGGCAGTAGTGCGACCTACACGGTGCAGGTGCAGTCAGGCACCCAGACCTCTACAGGGCTCCCCAAGTGGCACAGAAATGGGCGGTCCCACAAACCTCCTGCGATGGTGCGCAGGCAGGGGAGAGAGAGAGGAGGGTGCTGGACGCCAGCCTCTCCTGCACTGGGTACGGCCTCAGCTCTGGCTGCGTCCCTCAAATTCTGCGACCCTCACAATTTCGTCTCCGCAACCCCTCTGGTGACCACTGCTCTAAAAAGCGAGGCTGCACCCACCCTGCCAGTTCCTTCCTTGCTGCTCTTACCTGCCAGGTCCCCTCACCTGACACACCCCCTCGGCCCCCCACCCCACACAAACGGCTCCTATCTACATACATACACACACAACCCCCTCACCACACACACGCTCCTACACACACACACACACACACACACACACACTGGATCCTGTATACACCCCCACACACACACCTCTCAACACACACACGGGTACACACACACCCGGCTTATACACACACACACCTCAACATACACCTGTCTTCTATACACACACACACCCACACACCCAGCTCTCTCTCTCATACACACACACATTACTCTCTCACGTGGCTCCTATACACACACACACACACACACACACACCTGGCTCTCTCTGTCTCTCTCACACGCTCCAATATATACACACACATACACATACACATACACACACACACACACCCAGCTCTTTCTCTCTCTCTCTCTCTCTCACACACACACCCCAGCTCCCTCACACACACATCTGGCTCACACACACAGACCACTCTCTCTCTCACACACAAACACACACACCCAGTTCCTACACACACACACACACACACACACACACACACACGGCTCTGTCTCTCACACACACACACTCCAATACATACACACCATATACATACGCACACACCCGGCTCGCTCGCTCGCGCTCTCTCTCTCTCTCTCTCTCTCTCTCTCTCACTCACACACACACACACACACACACACACACACACACACACGGCTCACACACGCGCGGAGCTGTGCGACTGGCTGCGCCAGGCCGGGTGGACGTGGCCCACGAGGAAGCGCCTGTTCCGAGCCGCTCGGCCCCAGGCCCGTGTCGGCCTCCGCGCGGGCGGGCGGCAGGCGCCCGGGGGGCTGGGGAGACCCTCGCGGCGCACCCCACGCCCCGGCGACACCGCGCCCGAGGGGCCGCCCGACGCCCGGAAGAGGCGGCCCGGGAAACTCACCTCGCGCCACGGCGGCGGCGGCGGCGGCGGCGGCTCCGCTTTACGGCACTCGCGGCAAACGCTGCAAACGCGGTCGTCAAGCGCGGAGCGGCGGCGGGCGCGGGCTCGCGGGCCGGGGGCGCAGAGGGTGTCCCCGCCTGCGGCTGCCGCGCCTCCTCGCGGCTCCCGGTCCCTGGTCCTGACCCAGCTTTGGGGGTCTCGCCACATCGTGCACAGGGCTGGGCTCTGCATTCAGGAATGACCCCTGGCGGTGCTCAGGGGACCATACGGGATGCTGGGAATCGAACCCGGGTCGGCCGCGTGCAAGGCAGCCGCCCTACCCGCTGTGCTATTGCTCCAGCCCCCTCCGTACCCCTCTCCCACCCCGTTTACTTTTCTAACAGTGTATTCTTGAGGATCACATATGAACGGATTTTATTATTGTTTTGGAAAGTGCAAAGCTCTGAACTTAAGATGTCTACAAAAATTACTATTACCGGCCCATGACATAGAATTTTCAGAAAAATGTTTTCTAAATTGTTATTGGAAAATACATCACGTGAAGCCCTTTTCCTTCACATTGCCCAGATTTTTTGCCAGGTAGGTTCTTTTACCAATTTTTTCGTCCACAAAGTTTGCATACGTGTGAACTTTTGTTGTTGTTGTTGTATGTGGTTTTTTTTTTTTTTTTTTTGCTTTTTGGGTCACACCTGGCGTTGCACAGGGCTTACTCCTGGCTCTGCACTGAGGAGTTACTCCTGGCGGTGCTCAGGGGACCATATGGGATGCTGGGAATCGAACCCAGGTTGGCTGCTTGCAAGGCAAATGCCCTACGCTGTGCTATCTCTCCAGCCCCACGTGTGAACTTTGTAGAAATCCTGTTATTTAGAACTAGTTCTGTATTCATAGAACTATGTACACGTGTAGGTTTATTTTAAAAAATAATACCAGGCATTACTTGTCTAGGCACAGGTTCACGCTCATGGCATCATACAGTTGGGCTTGCTTGGCATTTCACACCATAGATATCATTCATTGGTAACATGTTTTCAAGCAGTTGTGGCGGGTACCATAAAAACATTCATCCTGGGGCATAAACACTACTTGTGTCAATGTAAATGTATTTAGGGTTTGGGATTATAAAGGAAACACTGGTACAGAAAAACAGAGTGCACACAATCCCCTGAGCTCTTACTCCACAGGGATCTGGTCAAGCACAGGACTGGAATACCAAGAAAAGGGTTCTATTTGAGGAAATCCATTTCCATAACGGCCTATGTATTTATACCATTTATGGCAGAAGGGGAATGACACAGACATGCAGAATCTATCTAGACAATTACCTACCAATGGGGTGGCAAGTTTTTAAGGGCAGCCTTTGAAATTCTGGCTGCCTAGTCTTCAGTGAACAATTATGTTGCATATACTTGTTTGTCCTGAAAACTGCAATGAATGATGGCTTATATATGTAAGAGGAATCTAGAAATAGAATTAAATTTTGAAACATGAGTATTTGAAATCTTGACATTACTAAATTGTTCCCTTGGGTCACACCCTTCACTCTGTCCACTGTATGGAGGGTACAGGTCTCTCAGTGTATTTTTCACACTCCTTCCATGACTCAGAACTATCCAATCTCCATTCCTCGGCCTTCATACTTATCTAGGTGAAAATAATTTTACTTAAGAGTTCATCTCATTTAATAAATATTTATGTAAACTGGTCTCAAATTCTAATATATATTGTAGAAAGACTGAAGATTCCTATTTTCTTAGTTACGATCTACCAAGATGTCACAGATCTCAAAATCAGAAACTAAAACATTCCATCATTGTATGAGTTCTGTCAAAGAGCACAGCTATAAAATTTTGGAGATGAGGAGACTATGGCTATTTTTAGTCTTCCCATCCCATTCAGGAGAATTGATAAATTTCATATGAATTGAAAATTTCACGAGAATTGGTAAATTCCAGCACTGACGGGAAAGACCAGCAGAAAAGAGTCAAAATTCTTAATGAGATGTTACAGGTGCTTTTTGTTTTGTTTTAGGGCATACCCAGAGATGCTTGGGGCTTTCTCTGGCTCTGCACTCAGGAATCATTCCTGACTATGCTTGGGGGACCAGATGGGAGGCCGGGGATAGAACTTGGGTCAACCACGTGCAAGGCAAACACCCTACTTGTTGTGTCATCTCTGACCCTTATTACTGGTGTATTTTAAAGAATTTAGTTTGGTTCGCCTGCACAGCAGAGCCTGGCAAGCTCCCCATGGGGTATTCAATATGCCAAAAACAGTAACAAGTTTCACAATGGAGACGTTACTGGTGCCCACTCAAGCAAATCGATGAACAATGGGAGGACAGTGCTACAGTGGTAGTTTGGTCATTTTATACAGAACATGGGGTGGAGCGATAGCACAGCAGTAGGGCGTTTGCCTTGCACGCAGCCAACATGGCCGACCCAAATTCAATTCCTCCGCCCCTCTTGGAGAGCCCGGCAAGCTACTGAGAGTATCTTGCCCGCATGGCAGAGCCTGGCAAGCTACCCGTGATGTATTTGATATACCAAACACAGTAACAACAAAGTCTCCAATGGAGACGTTACTGGGCCCGCTCAAGTAAATCGATGAACAATAGGAGGACAGTGATACAGTGATATATATATATATATATATATATATATATATATACACATATATACAGAACATACAGTCATTTTAACATCAAGTTATTCTGAATATTCTAAAATTTTAAAAAGCCACTTGAGAAGCCTGGTCTTGTTTCCAGGGAAAATGAGGCTTATCAAAACACCAGTTAACAGCACTGAATATACTGGGGTTTTTGTTTGTTTTTGAGCTACAGAAGTGCTCAGGGCTTAATCCTGGCTCTGCACTCAGGGATTACATATGGGATACTCAGGGGACCACGTTAATAGGGATCAAATCCAGGTAGGCTGCAGGCAAGGCAAATACTTTACCTATTGTACTATCACTCTGGCCCCAGTACAGGATATATTGTAAGTAGTTAATTAATGCCTTCTAGTATAACATAAGTTAAACCTGAGGAATTAAAATTATCAGTGCTGCATCTCAAACCTGTGTCCGATGTCCAAAACCAGATCAAATATTCTGGTCGATTAAAACAACCAATAAGCCATTTAGTATTTCCAATATGAAACAAAACAAGTATGAAGAAATATAAATGATATCCAGGTTAACAAAGTTTTGAAATGCGTTTTTTTTTAATGACAATGCAACAAACTTGTCAAATGTTAAGTGGGCACATATATATTTTGTTCTTTATTCAATGACAAAAATTTTCTTACAGAAAAAAAATTTCTTACATCTAGAAAGAACTTAGGTCAAATTCAGTCTTTGTGTGTAGTATGAGCATTCATAAATTCAAAGCACCAGAATCTGAATGGAAACAGCTTGGTTCATCTATTTATGCCAGTACTCTGTTTTGATACACTAAAGCTGCAGGAGAAATTTTTAAGTTCTAGGAAGTCTTGCTACAGAGTTAAAGGCTTCAGGAGAAAAAAATACTAAAAAGACAGCACAAACAAAAAAAATTTTAGAGGGCATTTTCTTCCAGGATTGTTGTTTTTCAAGAATCACTTCTCAAGTCCTGGTGAAACTAACTTTAAGCACGCACATGCTTTAACTAAATAAAAGGGAATCTAGAAGTATCTAAACATTTAAAATCCATTTTTAATTGAAAATATTACCATACAATTACATAATATGTTACTGTTGAAGCAATTTTACTTATTCCAGTTTGTTTTATACTTCACAAGAGCCCTGTGAGGCAGACTTAATATTTTATAATCATTTTGTGTAAGGCAACTGAGGTGCAAAATGAAAAGTGAGAAATATAGGGGCTACAGATCCAGTATGTTACAGCTAAGGTGACTTATTTTAAATACCTTAAGTGAAATGAACCCCAAATATGTATCATTTAGAGATATTTTAAAGCCTTGCTTAATATACATTACTTTAAATTTTAGCCATTACATATTTATAGTAAGAGTCTCCTTTAAAAGATGGACTCCATGCTTTGGTACCTTTAGATATACTGGAAATGGTTTTCTTTTAAAATATTATGTATTTTCATGTCCTTAGGTTTTCAAAAAAATTGTAATGCCCATAAAAATACCTTTTACCTATTGGATCTTTTTCTTTTCTTTCTTTTTTTTTTTTTATATAGTTTTTAGGCAACATTGAATGATGCTCAGAGGCTACTCCCAGTTCAGTGCTGGGTGACCATGCAGTGCCAGGGATCAAGCCCAAGCTTCCTGCATGCAAACATGATGTACACTAGCTGCCTAGCCCGCCAAGCTATTTCTCTGACCCATAATATGACTTAATTTTAAAGTAGTCCAAACTTGGCTCCAAACCGAAGCAAACACATTCACCTACCTCTGCTTCTACTCTACATATTTTGAAATCCTCTACACATTCATTGATAAGGATCAACTTCTATTAAACAAGTAAAACTGTAAAAATATATCAAGTTAAACAAACATTTGAAATAACTGACTTCAAAGTGAGTATCTTACATTGACTCAAAAATAAAATACGATTTTAATTAAAAACTGGATTATCTGAAAAAGTACAGAAATTGCTGTCAATTTATTTTTAAGCCACCATTAACCTTTATATAGTGTGCCCAACAGTATCTTTAAAAAATGCATAGAATTCATTTAAACTCCAGATTACTCAAAAAGCTCAAAGCATTTAATCGAACATTACAGGTCACATATCATAACCACAAATATTTGCATATGTGAATATTGTAAAATATACATAAAACAAACTGTACTAAAATGAGGTAATCTTTGTGATAATAAATGAAACATATGTGATTTCTTATGGTGTTCTGGTACCAGCATTATGAAATACATTTTTGGTTAAAAATAATGTAACTTTATGATGACTTGGATGTTAAAACAAATTTAATGCTGATCATACATTTCTCTAAAAGAATATATCCAGTGTAAAAATAAAATCAAGATACTTTCCCAATCCCATTTTATGTGACTATATAAAAGTAAGCCAAATTATATTGTTAATTTGAATATTTTACAAACTATAAAAAGTTTACCTTTAAAATTTCTGTTTTATTAGCAAAACATTGTTTTTAAGGTCCAAACTTTGTCATACCAAGCAGCAAAACTATACACATATGATAAACTACTGATTTTGGAAATCTTAATACAAAGTATGACTGCCACATCAGTTACATATTGTGAGTTTTATAATTTGTAGCTAATGAACACTGATTATAACAAGCATGGGATTTTAAAAAAGGGAATTATGATGACTTGAAAATAAAGATAGTTTAATAGGATCATTTTATAATAAATGTCTACAATGTCCTCTTCCAAAATTAATACTTGTGAATAATCATGTTTCATGTATTTTCTGAAAAATTTTTGTGTTTCTGAAAGAAACAAAAGACAACATATAATGAACTCCTAATTTATGAAAAAAATATACAGAGAAAAATGAGCGATTCTTTGTAAGTCATGGAATAGAATATCAGCCTAATTAAAAATTTCATTACAAATTACTAACTACTTATGCTACCGAGGATCACAAAAGTTCCAAAAATACATGACACTATTTATGCTTAATTTCATAAATGAGGAAATAAAATCAAGCCAGTATGTTTCTTTAGATGATAGCATGGGGCAAAATGACTACTGAACAAAGTAGGCCAACTCTAGCTGGACAGCAGCATTTTACGGTTTCTTAAAGTGATACAGAGGCCATCAAAATTAAAATCAGTTCAGAGAGACATGCCCCCAATACTTCCAATTTGTTACTTTTTACAATTTTTAATACTTTCCAGTCCACTTATTTACATCTGTAACACTCAATGAATCACATATATTCTTTATATTTCAACATGCATTCAGTTATGAACTCCTTGGCATAAACATATTTACTGTAAGTTAAAGATACAGGAGACAAGGTCAGTCCAAAGAGTCAAAATGAGTTGTAATAAAACTTCTAAAGTGCTTAAGGCAATCCTTCATTTCTTCCTCTTCTTTTTTTTTAATCCTTCATTTCTTCATATCGTTTACTAAAACTGGTAAGGAATTTAACTGCTTAAAGAAAAATGCAATACTAGGTGAATACTGTTTTGAAACAAATGTTTTCTAAGTACGATATATCTACCACAATCAATGTTTCATGAATTCTTTTACAGAAATCAACATGTTAGACCTGTATAAGTAAAGAGTAAATAAGTCAATTAAAAATGTGCGTGGGGGGGGGGGCAGAGTGACAGTACGGCGGGCAGGGCGTTTGCCTTGCACATGGCCAACCTGGGTTCAAACCCTGGAATCCCATATGGTCCCCTGAGCACTGCTAGGAATGATTCCTGAGTAAAGACCCAGGAGTAACCCCTGAGCATTGCCGGGTGTGACCCAAAACAAATAAAAACAGAACGTTTGAGGGTTATGTTATCTTTCTGTGATGTACGTAATTGATCAAAAGCACTCAATATTTTAAATTAAAACATCAATGTTTTTGGCCAACTTATGTAATTTGAGACTACTTAAATTAGGCACTACAATTGCTTATTTTATCGTTTGAACATGAGGGCATCAAAATTTCTCCATCTTAACATAAACTTAAAAAACACAAACTCCAGAAATTTCAGTTTTGAGACCTTTAAAAAGCAGCAAGAGGAAGACCTCAGACTTATTTTAAAGCAGTCATAGTATTTTGAGTGAATTTTCTAAATGAATATTAGAAAAAATTTTATGAAGTATTTCAAATGAAAACATGAGCATATGATAAAGTTTTATGTCTTCCTCCAGCCCCTGATTAATACTTCTTTTTCCCCATTTCCCTACAATAGAAGGCCCTTATTTGTACAACATAATGGTCTCTGGCTTAAATATCAGTTAACACTGCATGGGGAATTAGAGGAAAAAGTATGCTTGGAGGAAGAAGGCACTGAATTAGTGAGAAGACACAATTATATAAGACATTAGTAAAAAACTTTATAGTACAATTTCTGGCTTTTTCTGTGTTGTTTCTGCTAAAATGTACTAGTGTTATTTCACATAAAGCAGCCTGAGCACTAAACTACTGCTTTTAAGGTTAGACTCTGTGAAAGGGAATTATAATATCCTATTTCCTTAAGTCCTAGAATAATCTTTATAAGAATAACAAAGGATCCAAATATTTCTTAAAATCCTTAGAAGAAACAGAAATGCAAAAATGTTGTTTAGAGAATCAAAATGGTATCTCGATATATGTCATTTCCTACACTGAATTATGTCTAAAAAATTACCAGTATATCATTAGATAATGATGCAGATATGAATGTCCTCCAAAAAATGATATTCCAATTCAAATAGTTTTCCTCATTTGGATTTATCTATGACTAAAATTTCTAACAGTAAACTTGAAAAAAAAGTTATCACTCTTCTACAGAGACAACTCAAATGTAAGCAGCAATAGCCTCTTCTTGGGAGAAGGTGTTATAGCTAAAGGTACTTAAAATGAGAATAAAAGAAAGTTGACATAACAAGTTTCAAAAACCAATTAAAATACAAATAAGGATCTCTTTATAATGCTCAATAAATTCTTAAATACTGTAATTACAACTTTTAGTTTGGATCCAAGGAATGGTTACAGGTTGTAATCAACTGAGAAAAAAAAAAAAAACCCAGTTTTGTTCTGCTCAAAAAACATGGGTTTTACCCACCATTTAGCATATTTCCCCTAAGTTTGAAAATGAATGTTCATAGTCAGAAAAATGACTCCCTGTAAAAAAATCAAATTAAATTTGGCAAGAAAATTAAGAGAAAAATAACCTCCGAATGTTTGAAAACTCATTGAAAACATTTAAAAAGTCAGATATGCAATTTTTCAAAACAATTTTTCAATTGTTTCAGTCATTTCATCTATTATTAAAAAGCAGACATGAATTACTTCATTAAAGAAATTTTAGACAACTCCACTTATAACATATACCTCTTAAGACAAAAGTGGAACAATATAAGTTTTTCTACCTTCTGACATTTTTTTTGAGGGGAAGGGGGGGTCTCTGTTGGCAGTGCTAAGGAGGCCACATGTGGGGCCAGAAATTGAACCAGAGTGTCCTACATGTAAAGCAAGTGCCTTAAGCCCTGAAACTACCTCTCCGGTCCTCTCTAGCTCCTAATTTTAATAAAATTTCATCCCTACTAGATATGATAAAAATCAGTATATTATTATTATTTCCAAATTCAAAGTGGGAATTTGACCAAAGATAACTATTAAAGGTGATTTCATTAAACTACATAACTATTAAACCAGACAACAAAATAAGAAAATATAAAGCTTTGGAAAATCTTATCATCCCAAAAAAGACAAAATAAATCTAATACAGGGAAACAAAGAATATTCCTTTGTCACTATCAGTGTAGAAGACATAAAAAAACAACTGAGGTAATTTTAAGCTAATATATCTAGAAACTTCCTATCCATTCTCTGTTTTGACTTTCAACCAAAAGAGAACTATCACAATAGCTGAAAAAGAGAAATTATTTCTAATCTCTCCAGTAACAACTTAAAACTAAGGGGACAGGGAAAATAAACATGGTTAAGAAAATCTTACTATAACCAAGTATTTTAATTTTTCAAAGCCTTAGAGGACAGTGTGTTTTTAAAGCTTCAGTGAAAGAACAAAACAACAGGAAGTAATTAGGTTTCTTAAAAAGTATAACAAAAAGGCAAGATTTAAATGCTTTTCAACCCCAGGCCCTAGGGCTACCCATGTGTAGTTAAACATATTGGAAGAGACAAAGTAACCTAGAAAACACAAAACTGAGTTTCTTTATACCTATTTAAACACTGCTTTTTTTTTTCATTTTACTCTTTCAATACATGAGTTTCCTGCTTTGTCTACGCTTGCTTCTATGGTATTGCACGTTAGGTTCCTATAAAGGCTTCATACAAGATTCATGATGCCAACAGATTCCAAGTTGTAAAGCAGAATGTAGTCAACCTGATTTCCAACACTTTTAAGTTCTGTGATTAGTCACGACCCAGAAAGGGCCACCCAATCAAAATGGTGAGATGTTGGGGGACACAATTCTGAGTAGCATTACTGAGTAACATTGGTTAGACTGCCAGTTGAACCGGTCATTCCATTTTCAGTTTTCTGAAGTGTTCTCACAGCACTTGGAACCTGCATTCCGGTACTCAAAGACAGTCCACCACACCAAACCTAAGAAAAGAAAAGTAGAAAATATAAGAATGTTAATCAAAACAGAACTTAAGGGATTTTTACATTTCTGTTTCAAAGGCAAAGCGCCATGCATATGAGTATCAACAAGTTCCAAACTGATAACTGCCATGTTCGAATTGAGGGGTGATAGAAAAGCTAAATCCAGTGTGTTTTAGAAGTACAGAGTCTATGAACTTACGGAGCAGGCCAAAGACAGAACTTACTGGGCTGAGTGTATGATTTGCACGACCAGAAGCAGGAAACCCCAAGCAAAGAGACCAGAGTAGACCCTGAGCACTGCCACGTTTGGTTCCACAAAGAAGACAAAAACAGGTCACTGGATAGTCACACTGCAGAAGAAACTAAGGGCTGGTGGCAGGAACTTATAAAGTTGGATTATTCTAGGCCAGATGCTGCCAAATTTATTTAGCAAACCACCCCTTTCAGAAGAAAGATGACTGTGTCCCACTGGAAATCTATCTCCTTTAAGCAAACAGAAATCACCCTCCAATTGCACCCATGGCATTTATTTTTTAATTAAACTACCATCAGATACACAGTTGCTCATGATCGGGTTTTGGTCACAAGTGTTCCCACACCCATCCCTTGTACCACCCAGTGTACATTTCCCACCACCAATGTCACCAGTTCACCAGTTTCCCTCCTACCCACTATCCCCATTCTCTCTCCCCTCCCCTCCCCTCCCCTCCCCTCCCCTCCTCTTCTCTTCTCTCTCTCTCTCTCTTCTTTCTCCCTCTCCTCTCCTCTCCTCTCCTCTCCTCTCCTCTCCTCTCCTCTCCTCTCCTCTCCTCTCCTCTCCTCTCCTCTCCTCTCCCCTCTCTCCTCCCCTCCCCTCCCCTCTCTCTCCTCCCCTCCCCTCCCCTCTCTCTCCTCCCCTCCCCTCCCCTCCCCTCCCCTCCTCTTCTCTTCTCTCTCTCTCTCTCTCTCTCTCTCTGTCCTTTTGTACCCATGATTTCTACCACCCCTCCCCACTCTACCTAGGGGTGGAGGTGGGGGGGCAGTATTGCCCTATTTGGGAAACACTGCATAAGCAAAAGTGCTGGCATTCGTTACTTATGCTAAACTTCAGGACCAAAGGAAGAGATCAAAGAGCCAACTCTGTTATCCTAATTATTGCTTTCAATTTTTATAATAAGGTGTGGTTTGAGACTGAGTATTTAAAAGCCCTCGAACTGGGGAGTACAAAAATTAAAATGCATGCCATGTATGCAGCCCATGGGCAAGCATATGATCCCCAGGCACAATACCTAAGCAGCGCCAGGAGCAGCCCCCGAGCAATGCCTAGCAGGGCCCAAACCACTATTCCCACAAATTTTTAACACTCTGCAAACAGAGAAAAATCTATTAGTTTCTGCCTAAATATGTTACCAAGAACATTAAGGTGAACTTACACAAAAAACACAAATAGTAATATCCAAATAGACCTGATAGCGTCCATTTATTGGGAACAAGTGAGTTTATTAAAAAAAAACACTGTTTTGCTGGGGCTAGAGGAATAGCTCAGGAGTCAGGTAAACACACCTTGCATGTATCAGGCTTGAGTTATTCCCTGACACTACTTGGTCCCCAAGCACTGCTGGACGTAGCCTTGGCAGGCTCCAAATACTGTAAAGGTGTCCCTAATAGACCCCACCTTAGTGGGTCAGAGCAGCATCGAATGGCCAGGCCTGACCTATAGCAAGGACCCTATGGCATAGATTATCCAGGCCGGTTCACTGAGTACCATCCTGAGTAGCCTCCAGGTCCCCTGAGCCCTGATGAGAGGACAACTTAGCCCCCCAAAATTGTGAAGAGGAAAATTAATATTCAATCAAATGAAGAATAACTGATCTGGAAATTAAGAGAATGAAAATATACAAGAACAGGTTATTTAAACAATCTCAACTGCCACATACAGCAGAAAATCTTAAAGCCAGGGAGACTCCAGAAGTTCTCTAAGTTTGGAGACTCGCCCTGGCTTCATGATTTTATATATTCCTTGATTTTAACCTGAAGTATTCGATATTTGCTAATAAATTAGGATATTGTACAAAAGAGTTAGGGCTGGAGCGATAGCACAGCGGTAGGGCGTTTGCCTTGCACGCAGCCAACATGGCCAATCCGAGTTCAATTCCTCCGCCCCTCTCGGAGAGCCCGGCAAGCTACCGAGAGTATCTCGCCTGCACGGCAGAGCCTGGCAAGCTCCCCGTGACATATTTGATATGCCAGACACAGTAACAACAAAGTCTCCAATGGAGACGTTACTGGGCCCGCTCGAGCAAATCGATGATCAACGGGAGGGCCTTTACCTTTTTTTTTACTAAAGAGTTTACTGGCCCGTGAAATTTATAACTACAAAATTAACATTATAATTTTTTAAGCTAGCAGGTTCATTAATAATAACTTCTAAAATAGAATAAGGGGGAAAGCAACTCTTTGGCTATACAACTACTATACTATTTTGGGGATGTATTTCAACAATTAACAAAAATAGTTACTTAAAATACCTAGCAGATAGGTGCCAGAATAAATCAATGGAGAAAAGAAACTGAGTTCAGTTCTGTGAAAATTCATCAAAACTACATATTATGGTTTGTGTATTTTTATTACCATTTACTTCAATAAAATATGCAAAAAAAATTTCAGAGTAACAGATTTAGGAAAGGCAAACTGGGGGAAGAGAATCAAAAAGCAAGACATCAGCTGGTGCAAATATATAACATAGGCTCTTCTTAATGTTGCTAAACCAAATAAAATATAACTTAAATACTAACCATGAAACCAGGTAGCACTGGCTGAGTAAATTTTGTCTTAAAGGAATATAACAACTGCTTTGAGTTTGCATCATAGAAGGAAAGTTGACCTAGAATGAAGAAGGAAAAGTCTTATTATACAGAAAAAAATTAATATCTGATTAAATCTAGCATAAAAGCACAGAAATAATAATTAAATGCTATTTTGGCATTAATTTTTGTTTCAAACTATAGTTAACAGTAATTCTCCCTTGAAAAGTCAGTAGTGAGAGCCCAGGAGATAGTTGAAAAGGCGAGAGAGCACATGCCTGGTGGGTTGGAGGCCTGAGGTCAATTCCTAGTTCAGCACAGTGCCACCAGCACAGCCAGGGTGCCAGTGTGGCCAAGGCAGGCCCCAGCAGAGCTGGGTCCCAGCAGCACAGACCAAGGGCCAAGGACACCTGGGAGTGGCCCCAGGTACCCATAAGAACCATACACACTCCTTGCCCCCAATGAAAATCAGTAGTATGAAAAAGCCCAAACCTAATTTTCTGTTCCTCATTTTCTTTTTTTTTTCTTTTTTGGGTCACACCTGGCAATGCACAGGGGTTTACTCCTGGCTCTGCACTCAGGAGTTATTCCTGGAGGTGCTCAGGGGACCATATGGGATGCTGGGAATCAAACCCGGGTCAGCCGCGTGCAAGGCAAACGCCCTACCCGATGTGCTATCTCTCCAGCCCCTTGTCCCTCGTTTTCAAGATCTCTGTCTTACTTTTCCATTTATAAACAATCGTATCATTACTAAAAAAAGGCTCCTGTAGCTGAATAAAAACCAAGCCTACTTCTTCGATTTTACTACAACCAGACTTCCCTAGGCAAATCTTATCACCATTTAAGATTTACTCCATCAAACTACTTAAGCCACGCTCATTGCTATCTCTGAAACTGTCCTTAAGTTGTCACTGATTCCGTTTTTTTTTTCTTTTTTAAAACCCTCTCCATCTGTCTTCCAATATGATATGCAACTGAAATAAGTGTCTCTGACTACTGTTCAACCTGCTCTTCCAATCACAGCTATTTCTTGAAACTCTGCTCCCATGACTTTTTTTCTTGGTTTATATCCTAACCTTGACGGTACCTTCTCTTTTTCTCCTATTCTAATTGTACATGCTTGTCCAGGCTCTTCTTTCTCTAATTCTTCCTTAAAAGTCACCTATCACCAAACAGAGAAGAAAAGAAACCGACATTTATACCTCCTTATTAAAATACTGGGTGTTTTAAATACATGTTACCTCAAACTATTAAGGAACCTACATATGGTAACAAAAAAAGAACAAAGTTTTAACTATACTGTGCAACGTATAGTAGTTATTCTGTAGCATTGTCTTAAATATTTAGCTTGAGTTCTACTTTTAACTTTCAAATATTTGCCAGACACATGATGTGATCATTCTGCTGGCATCTGATTTTTAGCCAGGACAATGCTCCCTAACTTCTAGATCATGCTGCCATCCTCTTGATAACTCTGACTGAAACCTGAGTCATCTTCATTTCTTCTCTGCCTTTCCCTCCGATCCATGTTTATTTGTGAAATTCTATAAATTCTATTTCCATACTACCAAACATTCATATTGACTACCTATTGCCCAAGAAATCCCTTATTACTACTTACTTAAATACTTAGGCTTACTATATAAAACCCTAACCAGGCACTGAAAATACTAAATGCTCTTGAAAAGCCTTAGGTTAGCTATGCTTGCAATCTTTCTCATTTAACAATTTACTATTAAATAAGTAATATTTTAACAAACTAAGTAACGTTTTAAAAACTAGATTATTACTAGGCATTTAGTAGTTGTTTTTTCAGGCCACACCTGGCTGGTAGTTAGGGCTTATTCTTGACTCTGTGCTCAGGACTTACTCCTGGTCATGCCCTGGGGACCATGTGCAGTTAGCAGGGGTTGAACCCAAGTTGGCTATCTGCAAGTGAAGAGCCTTCCCCAAAGGTGGAAATATCTTCTGACCAACTTTTCACTATCTTTGAGGAACCAAAGGAGAGTGAAGAAGATAAGCAAATGTTATCTTCGTAGTTAAAAAATGAAAAATATTAACAACTATTTGTCGTTTATCCTGGGACCTGGAGCAATAGTACAGTAATAGAGTGCTTGCCTTGCAGACAACTGACCTGGGCTCAATCCTCCTCATCACATATGGTACCCCCAGCACTGCCCGGAGTAACTTCTGAGTGCAGAGTCAGAAGTAACCCCTGAACATTGTCAGATGTGGTCCCCAAACAAACAAAAAATACCATTTATCCCAAGGAAAATCATTATCTGGTAAAGGTAAAGGCCCTCCCGTTGATTATCGATTTGCTCGAGTGGGCCCAGTAATGTCTCCATTGGAGACTTTGTTGTTACTGTGTTTGGCCGGCAAGCTACCGAGAGTATTCGATTGACTGGTATGAAGTAAAAAAAAAAAAAAACCAACCATTACTAAAAAATAAACTGGTGCTGGGGCTAGAGTGATAGCACAGCTGGTAGGTTACTTGCTTGCATGCAGCTGACCTGGCATCCCATGCCATCCCCTGCACCCCAGCAGGAATGATTCCTGAGTGTACAGCGGTTAACAGGAGAGAGAACTGAGCACTGCTGGGTGTGATCCCAAAACCAAATAAATTGGTCCAAAATTACTTCTTCCTTTTTGTTTAGTAGCTATGTAGATACCTCATAGAATTATTGGACTAAATGTTATTAAAAATGCTAAAATTGAGTTTTACCATTTAGCAAAGAACAACATGTAGGGAATTAGTTTAGGCCCTCAGTTCAAAAGTATGTCATCTTTGATATTTTTACAATATTTAGACGACAGTGAAAAAAGGTACTCACCAAATAACTCACTCAAAAAGCATTAAGAAATTTTACAAAAGACAAATCTAAAGTTAACTTTTCAGTGAGTTTAACAGGAAAAAAAAAGGTTAGCCTGTTCTATTAAAATGAAACTTGAGGGGATATAATATTCTTTATTTTACTTATAACAAAGACAAAGTAGCTAAACATAAGGAAAAACAATTTGACAGAAAACTAGAAAAAGATCTAGGTGGCTAAAGTCTGAGATACATCAATAAGGTTGTTAAATCACATTTCTAGATATTTCTAGAAATAAGGTAGTTAAATCGCATTCCTATATACAAAATCACTGTTTTAGAAGCTGTGTGTTCTACATTAAGTACCAACTTTAAAAAATACACTAGCAGGGCTGGAGCAATAGCACAGCAGGGAGGGTACTAACCTTGCATGCAGCCAAACCAAGTTTGATCCTTGGCATCCTATATGGTCCCCTAAGCCCACTAGGAGTGATCCCTGACAGAGAGTCAAGAGTAAGCCCTGAGCACTACCAGATGTGGCCCCAAAACAAATAAAATAAATACACTACACACACACACACACACACACACACACACACACACACACATCCTAGTACAGTCACAACTGGTTATGAGAGTATATTCTCATATTTATCTATATCCTAGCTGTATACTATATAGTATATATGTAGACATGTCCTAGTATACAGCTACAACTAATTATGAGAGTATACTCTCATTATCTATGTCCTAGCTATGTACTAAGATACGCACATACACACACACATACATCCTAGTATACTGCCACAACTAATTATGAAAGTTTGGCAATTTTTTCAGAGGAACATAAAATACAGAGAACACATGAGGCAGAAGAAGCAATATTACTTTTGTTTTTTGGTTTTTGGTTTTGGGTAACACCAGGTTATGCTCAGGGCTTCCTTCTGACTCTGCACTTAGGGATCTTGGTGGGCTCTGGGGTCTATATGTGGCATGGGGATCAAACCTTGCATGCAAGACAATCACTCCAGCCCCAGAGGAAATGTTAGTTTTGGGTTTTTTTTTTTTGCTTCTTGGGTCACACCCGGCGATGCACAGGGGTTACTCCTGGCTCTGCACTCACGAGTTACTCTTGGCAGTGCTCAGGGGACCATATGGGATGCTGGGATTTGAACCTGAGTAGGCCTTGTGCAAGGTCAATGCCCTACCTGCTGTGCTATCTCTCCAGCCGCAGGCAATGTTAGTTTTTGACCTTTGGTTAAATTTATATTATCACATAAATGTAGACTTCTAAACATAATTCTGAGTTCCTTTAGATGACAGACTCTTCCTTGTTTTTGTATTTTGGGCCACATTGACAATGCTCATGGGTTAATCCTGACTCTGGGCTCAGGAATCACACATGGTCAGCTCAGTGGACCATACGCCCAGATGGAACCCAGGTGAGCTGCATGCAAGGTCAGCACCCTACTCACTATGCTATTTGTCTGGCCTCCAGATGACAAAATGTAAGAGCAACACTAAAAAATTAGTGAGATAGTGAGTCAATTTATTTTTTTGTTTTTGTTTTGGGACCACACCCAGCAATGTTCAGGGGTTCCTCCTGGTGAGCTCAGGGGATCTACCACGTGGGATGCCAGGAACCCTACCAGGGTTGCCCATGTGCAAGACTAATGCCCTACCCACTGTATTATCTCTCCAGCCCCAATAGTACATCAATTTAAGGAAAGTCTTTTAACTACGTGCTATCCAAAAAAGAAACAAACTAGGACAGTAAACTTCAACGTGAACAGTTTTTTGAGCATAGCAATGACAACTACTTGCAAATATAATGTCATAAAGATTTTATACTGTGTGGCAGATGGACAAGATAATGTCTGAGGTATATTTCAATTCTTAAAACCTGACTTCATCACTTTATTAAACACACACACACACACACACACACACACACACACACACACGGTTGGGGGACTAGAGAGGGCACTTGCATTGCACACAGCCAATCTGGGTACTTCCCTATTTCCCCAGGTCAGGTCAGAGTCAGGAGTAGTAAGCCCTAAATACTGCCAGGACTGGCTCAAAATCCAACAACATCAACACCCAAGGTAAGGAAGGAATTAACACAGACTAAGAAATGTTAGTGCTTAAGATGGAAATTAGTAAAATCTTCTTTACAGGGCTCCCAGCAAATATCACACACCGTACCAGTTCTGCAGCTGAAATTGTTTGTGATCAAATTATAACATGCCCAAAAAAAAATCATTACAGTAACAATGGAAATTCTGTGTAAATTACCAGTGATAAGTACTGAAGAAAAAATTAGCAATAGTAAAATGACTTATGAGAGAGTAACTTACCCCCATCAAAATCACAAAAGACACCTATTCTCTCTGGAACAGTAACATCCAAGGCTTTGACTTTATTATTATGCTTTGCTGCAAATGTATTTTGTAGCCAGTTGTTGACATGGATACACCAACTGGTATTTGTCTTTCCCAATTGGTCAAACTTGCCCAAAGTCTTATATGCTACTCCCACGCTGTAGGATTTACAATCTTTCTGGGCCTTGACCTCCCAGTAATGTTGTCCACTTTCAATAGCAGTGTCTCCTACAAAAGATCAGAAAGGTGTATTTGACTCTTCCTTGTAGGTCACACATTGTAGGTCTCATTCCACGAAATAGCACCAAAAATTCTGATTCATGAGAGAAACTGTCATGTAGAGAACCTGCTATATAACTTCACTTATGTATTATAACTTTTTTCCAGAAATTTTATAACTTTTTTCAGAAATTTTCTCTTATTAAGCCCTCTGAAATTAAACGAGTCTCTCTCTCTCTCTCTCTCTCTCTCTCTCTATATATATATATATATATATATATATATATATATAATCTCAAGAGTTTACACATTTAACAATAAGACAATTTGAAAACCCACCAAATACTTAGGTGCCCAGAGGCCGAAACTCTGTAAAGATTCATCCAATCCATGGGACAGTGAAGCCACTCCAGTTCTAAATGAATGCCATGCTCACCAGTGTGACTATGATGACTTTTCCCCCGATACAATGAAGAACTATGATGTTTATCTTACCCAGCACTGTGTAGGATTCCCCAGTGAAACGATCTCTGCTGCCTCTTACTGCTGGTGGCCTAGAACCTATGGATGTCCTTTTGGGGGATGGCGTACCACTTCTATATAAACAGGAACAAAAAAAAATTATGGACAATAAAAACGTTTCATAAAATAAAATTAAAAATCATGGAATAAACTTTTAAAAAGATTTCTTATATGACAAAATAGTATCACTTATTGTAAGTAAATTATTATTAAGCAGGTATCAGTTGAAAACAGACAAATGTAAGAAATCAGCAACAAAACAAGAAATAATCAACACAAAGAAGGCTTAAAATAGCGATATCACACAGACACTGAGCAAGGCTTAGAACACACAGTTAAAATAAGAAACAAGGCCATGGGCCAGAGATATGGTTCAGTGGTAAAGCACAAGCCCTGCATGCATGAGTTCGGGGTTGGACCCTTGGCATCACAGAAAACAAAAACAAAAAAGATACAATGCCAAACTGAGACAAATTTGGGGGCACGGGGGAGAAATAAAAATGGTTAATGGATTATTACTAACATTTCTCAGTTAAAATGAAATGAAACAAGAGTAAAATTAGGCTTAATATAATCTAAATGAAATAACCTTCTTAATAAGCAGTAGGTAGTTTTGTTCTGGATCTTTTCTTCTTAAAAAAATAAAGGGCAATTACCCAGATTCAGGTCCTGGACAACATCAAATGAGCAAGGCCCAACCTGACCTTCTCTATGATATGGTAAACTGACTAAGTATTGAACCTTTCAGTAACTCTTACAAGCTCGAAATAATCAAATACCAAGCAAGTTTTTAAAAATAGCTTTTTAATCATTGTGTATCATTGTACTAAAACAAAACAAAATAAAACAAAACACCAGAATTACAACTTACCAGTGGCAAAGAAATAAAGGGAAAGCATGGGGGAAAGAAAAACAGACAAAACTATTGAAACTGGTAGTTTAAATTTCAGAGAAAAAAATGAGAAAAACCAGAACTCTTCCACTGCAGCATTCTTGACTTCCAGGCCTATGTTTTTACAGTAGCTATTACTAACTCAGGTGGAATAAGATTATCCCCACTGCTCCTCTGCAACCTCTCTGTGGAATATTTTAGCAGCTTCCCAAATGCTGTCTTTGTAACCCAATTCATACTACTACTATTTACCAGATAAACCTAACCGTGATTCTCTTACTTTAAAAATCTTCAAGGACCTCCCCAAGGTCTATCAACATCTTCATTTCAGGTTGTTCTTGATTTGGTCCCAGGCTACCTACCTTTTCAGCTCTTTCACTTCCTGGCACGATCTAGCTAAATGCACGTGCTAAAAGTGGCCCTGAGTTCACAGTCTGCTTCAGCCCCTTCTTCTTTGCATTCCCTCTTACAGTGAAAGACCAAATGCTACAAATACTTCTACTTCCTAGGTATTCCCTTAAGGAAGCTCACCCAGATTCTACAAGACTTACACTTCAGGAGTTCAACTTCATGCTTAAGTCCCTGTATGTGACCAGAGGCCCAACCTGGGCATTATCAAAGGCTTAACCCTGGTGAGCTCCCTTCTCCATACCATACTTGGTATACAAGAAGTTCAATGTTGGGAGGGAGCTGCAATTCAGGTCACCCCCACCCCCCATGTTCTCATGCATAACTGTGTTCATTGTTAGATACTGATATTTAGAGATGGGGCCTCTGAGGCTATATAGGGCAGAGAGGGAAAGAGGCTTAGCCGAGACCCAGAGGCCCTTAGAAAGGTCTCCTTGAAGGTGACAGGGTTGGGCTGGTAATAATTGGCTTCTCTTTATCTCAGCAACCCTTTGACTCCTAACTTTCCCACTTCTATGCCATCTTTTAGGCTTCAGGTCTATAAAAGTGGGAGTCTTTAGTAGGGATCCTGGGCAGAGCAAGTTCTTCTAAATAGCTCTCCAGTTACAATCTGCACCTGATCCTCAATCAGTGTCATTCTGATAGGAAAAATGGAACCATGTGGGAGTGGACACCCTTGGGGACCCGTCTTTTAAACCACCGCAGTAAGTGAATGAATGTTGGACTGTGACTTTCAGTTTGACTCATTAACCTGACCACTTAAATGCCTGGTAGCTCAACACATTTTTCCTCCTCCAAACTTCTTTGTTCACACTTAGAATACACATTAAGACAAATGTTTTGAAGGCAGGGACAATATTTATCCCTATATACTCCGCAGTATACAGATGACATGCAGTGAACGAATATTTATGAGACTAATAAATGACTATCACATTCTACAAGTAGCACTGTAGCACTGTCCTCCCGTTGCTCATCAATTTGCTCGAGCGGGCACCAGTAACGTCTCCATTGTGAGACTTGTTGTTACTGTTTTTGGCATATTGAATATGTCACAAGTAGATTGCCAGGCTTTGCTATGCCTTGGTAGCTTGCCAGGCTCCCAGAGAAGGGCGGAGGAACACATGCAAGGCAAACACCCTACCCGCTATGCTATTGCTTTGGCCAATTCTACAAGTAATCTACATAAAAATGGCATTTGAAAGGAGATAAGGAAAAAAATCAAAATATCGTAGACCTGTGAACAATGTGGGGGTTCCTCGGGCAGCTGAAAATCAGTCTATTACTTAAAGTCAACTCACCGTAGAATACACATTAAGATGTAGAATCTACATCTGCAGGTTTAAACAACTGACTTTCAATGGTTGGATCTACAAATATGGAAGCAAATGTGGACCCTCACAACTCAAACCTGTGTTGTTCAAGGGCCAATTTTAATCTGAAAGGCTAGGTACAAAAATCTCAAATTCTTCAAATGACTAAATGAAATTTCATACTTAAATCTGGCAGCATATAATTTCTAATACACTAGCTACAAAACCACACTTGCCAATGATAAGCAAATGAAGAGAGGATAATAATTCTGAAAAAAAGTAACATTCTAGTTTCTGGTAAAATATCATATCTGAATCGAATTCACTCATTTCAGCACATGACACTTTTATTCTTGATCCTTTTGAAACTGTCTACTATAAAGCACAGAATTCTTACTCTCTTTTGTGTCAAATACAAATAAAAGCCAATGCTCTAATGTTATATATAAAATAAAGATGCCAGGTATGAGTAAATGCAGAAAAAAAAGAAGGAAAAACGATTTCAAGAAAGATTTTGAAGCGAGCTTATTGTTATTCCATATAGTCAAAACCAAATACTATGCAGCACACTATAACACCATAAATTTGTAACAGAAGTTACCAATACAGACAGTCTACAAAGAACAATAGTTTAGCTTACAAAAGCTGCTGCAACGGTATCTGCTTATTGGTTAAAAAAAAAAAAGTTATTCAGCCAAGCTAGAATACTAAGTCCTAGAACTAGACAGACACAGATTGTCACCTTGAGTGTTTCTTCAGTGAAGTAACATGGACACTGTCAGATAAAAATAGGTAACTGTTAAGACTGTGATACAACTGAAATTAAAGAGTTAATAAAGAAGATCAACAGCCTAAAGTTTTATTTGATTCTCTCTTCTAAGTCAGTGATATTACCTCAATTAAGTTTGAACAAAAATTTCCTCTACTTAAAAAGAAAGAGTTTGGGCCGGAGAGGTAATACAGTGGGTCGGATGCTTGCCTTCTACAAAGTCTATCTGGTTTTAATCCCCAACACCAAATGTGGTCCCCAGAGCACCACCAGGAGTGATTCCTGAGCACAGAGCCAGGGGTAGGCCTTGAGCACCCCAGGTGTGACCCAAAATGACAAACAAATAAGAAAGAGGCCCCCACACTTTTGAAACTATCTCAATAAGTCTGACAACAAAAAGTGATCAAGTCTTCCTCTTCAGTTTGCAGTTGGTGATTACAGGCCCAACACAGGGGTCCTACACTTCAAGTTGCCATTCAGGGCCAGGCACATAAATAATTCAGTGTTCACATAGAGCACCTGTCTTGCAGGTGTGAGGTCCTGTATTCGACAACCAATGAAAGTTGTCATTCAGCAGAAACCTTCACATAAGACAGGGAATCTGTAAGTATAAAATTCAGGAACTTTACTAGGAACTTCTCTCTAAGGAATCCAAGCTGCTATAGAGGTCATTTTAAAGAAACCAAATACTAAAAAATGTATAAACAAGAGAATGCAAAAAGAAAAAAAATACTGTTAATGACATATTTAGGAACAAAACATTTTTATCTTTCACTTTGGAATTAGTAAGAGATGAGAAATCAATGGTATCCAGAATAAAAATTTCATTATTTGTTCATGTCAAATAAGAATCAATATAGTCAAACATTTGTCCTGATTTAATGAGCCAGCTTACCTGCCTCTGTTTTCTTTTCCTTTAACTTTATTTTCTTGGCCTTTTCCGCCAGTGGGGTCCCATTCAACACAGGAATCTTCAACTCGCAGGTTTAAATGGGATGATGAGTTGTCCAAAACAAAGTTAAGTGCTGTCCAAAACAACATTCCAATTTTAAAAACATACAGCATATCTTCTTTACACCCTGAAGCAGTTGCTATATTATCCTTCTATTCAACTTATTAGACAGCGCATAGAGAAAACACAGTTCATGTTCCTAATCCTAACGTTTAAAGCCCTCAGTGGTGTTTGGTCATAATTTGTTAATTTCTACGTTATTTTCAATTAGAGTCCTCTGTGTCTCCTACACACCAACCAAATCCATACTTGCACTGGCCACCAGAGTTTTTGCTATTCCTCCAACTGGACTATCAGTACACACTAATAATGATCTTAATTTCCTGCTATTAGAATATCAGTTGATGGTAAGACTCAGTAGGAAACTGAGTTGGTAGAGTTACAAATAAGGACAAAGTAATGTGATATAAAAATTAATCTACCACAATATTTTGTCTGATGCTCTAACAATAATTAATATTTAATTTCCATCTCTGCTGCCATATTCCATTCAGTTCTTTGGTCATGTACTTATTTCCATTAACTGGCTTTTTAAAAAAAGTCACCAGCAGTGAAACAAAGAAGTGTTTGTTTAATAACTATATTTTAAAATCTGTACTTTTTCCTCAGAGAGTTAGCTATTATTAGTAGTTACTCCAACTGGTATGGAATAACCGTTTTATTTAATTGAATCACCTCATGAGATACACAGTACAAAGTTATTCATGACTGGGTTTCAGTGATTCAATGTTCCAACATCACCAGTGTACACTTCCCACCACACCAATGTCCCCAGTTTCCTACCCCCACCCCATCTGCCTCTACAATAGCATGCTCATGCTCTCTCGTTCTCTCTCTCTCCCTCTCTCTCTCTCTCTCTCTCTTTCTCCTCTCTCTCTTCCCTTCTCCTTCTCCTTCACCTTTTCTCCCTCCCTTTGAAAATTATGGTTTGCAATACAGGTTCTGAAAGTTTATCATGTATATCCTTTTTTTTTATTGAATCACCGTGAGAACAGTCACTAAGCCCTACAGTTCAAGTCTTGGTCGGTCATACAATGATCAAACACCCGTCCCTTCACCAGTGCATATTTTCCACCACCAAAAACTCCAGTATACGCCCCCTCCCACCCACCCCCTGCCTGTGTGGCAGATTTCACTTCTCTCTCTCTCTCTCTCTCTCTCTCTCTCTCCATTGATCACATTCAATATTACAACAAAAGACCCAACATTGTTGTTTGGAGTTTCCCTCAATATTACAACAAAAGACCCAACATTGTTGTTTGGAGTTTCCCCCAACATTCAGACCACCACAAAGACATAATTAGAAAACTTGTTTTCTATTGCTGATTATGAAGAGCATATGATGTCGTGTGGCCACAATAGCAGCCACGCAAATTTGGATTACTGAAATGTAGTAATAAACCTAGAGGGATTACTGCCAGAAGCCCCTGGGTTCCGAGTTGGTATGTGTGCCTCTGGGATCATATTGATCAGAAGCCGGGAGAGGCGTTTGAGGGTGGCAACCCGGAGCATTGTCATGATGGGGAGCAGGGCCGATTTCACCCCCATCCCATGAAACCCCACGTGCCTTGTCAATGCAGTCTCATATCTGGCTGTTCATTAGGCTCTAATAGATGCAGGCCACCATGCTGCTGCCGCCGCAAAGGAGGACAGGCAAGGGACAGACACCCTTCCCCTCCCAGGGCGGCATAGCACCATAGTTAAATACAAAGTCCAGATGTGTTTCGGTTGGGCATTACCTTTTACTCAGATTTTCCTATCACTATTCAAACCTGATTTTCAGGGACAAATGCTAGATCATTTGCTTTCCATTGATCACTTTGCATATCAGAAAATGTCACGGCCGTGCAGTTCAGAAAAAAGTCCTGGTACTCGCATGCCAGAGCCATGCTTGTAGAAGCTCATGGTCACCAGGATTCCATTTGGGGAAGGCGGGGAGACATCACCTACCCGATCTGGGACCTCCCGGTGGTATCGGCTCTGGACAGGGCCCAGAGCATTCTCCGGGAGCTGTGGGGCCCTCCAGCCGGTTTTAACCTTTGCTTCTGTGTGCTGTAAGATGGCACTGGGGGTGGGTTGTGGGCGTGACTCCCGGAATCAGAGGTCTCCTGGGAGCTGGTGCGGCCCCGTTACAGTTTGGAAAAAAGTCCTGGTACCCGCATGCCAGACCCATGCTTATAGAAGCTCATGGTCACTGGGATTCCATCTGGGGAAGGCAGGGTCATGTATATCCTTTTATCTCCTTTCAGCACTCAATTATTGACCACAGTGATCATTTTAACTATCATTGTCATAGTGGTCTCTTCTCTAACCTAACTGCCCTCTCCCAGCTACTTGTGGCAAGCTTCCAGCCATAGCCCAGTCTCCTGGCCCTTGTTTCTACTGTCCTTGGGTATTAGTCTCATACTATACTTTTTATATCCCCAAAATGAGTGCAGTCATTCTATGTTTGCCACTCTCCTTATGTCTCATTTCACTCAGCATGATATTCTCCATGTCCATCCATGTATAAGCAAATCTTGTGACTTCATTTTTCCTGGTGACTGTGTAGCTGAAATAACCTTTTAACAAAATTCTGTGATCTATGTGAACTTAAGAGACAAACTTTTTCCTGGGTCCCCCTCCAAAGGTCTAAATAATTGTTTAGTGGAGGCCTCAGAGTGGAGGCACAATCTATCCTCACAAGAGGATTACCCCCACCATAAGAGAAGTTCAAAAGGACTTGAATCAACTTAGTCTTTCTCTACAAACCCCTTTCTACAAAGGCCAAGGATTGGACTAGTAAGATCCAGGTACTCCTACTGGAAGTCATCAGCTCTTAAAGAAACTATAATCCAATTATTCAACTTTCTGAATGTATGGAATATGTATAGAATGTACAATTTTAACCACAGAGGTAAATGAGAATAAACTAAAAAATGAAATTTTATGATGTTCCAGAGGGAATTAATAATAATGAAATTTGCAAAATCTGCAAAGGACTGAAAATAGTACAAAAGAATGTAAAAGATTGTCTATAAATGTCACTGTACTTTGAAATGGCAAAAACCTCTGAAGAAAACACAATAATGCCTCAGTTTGTTGAAAGTAATTCAACTTAATACCATTTCTTGGCTAAGTTACCTATACTTCTCAAAAACATTTGCCAAGGGGGATATGGTGCCACCAGCAGGTCAATCTGTACCTATGAAGTGAGTGCATCAGTAGCCTGATGGCACCGTCAGACTTTCAGATACCCCTAAATTACTGCTGTGCCTTTGGCCAGACCCCAAAAACTTGGGGCAAAGTTTACCAAGAAAGTAAATGGCCAAAAGTTAGGTATGCGGGAGACACACCCACAAACCACCTCTGGCCCAGCTATATAATTGGAGGCATCGCTTCTCTGGTTCCTGATCGAACTGCTTAATGGCCATGATCCCTGAGACTCAGAAACAAATCTCGGAACCCAAAGGCTTTTGGCAGAAATGCGTCCTGTTGCTACAGTAAGTTACTGGCGCTGGGCCACTCCAGGTGGGAATACGTTTTGTGCCTTGCCCTGTTCGCCCTGGCAGCCCGGTGACTGCCATCCTCCAGAGGCCAATGGACAGTCAGGTTTGGGCCTGCAGTGATGAGACATACGGGGCCTCACCAGATGGGGGTGGAACCGGTCCTTTCCTCCCCATCCCAACGAGACCCCGAGTTGCTGCCCACGAATGACCTCTCTGGCTCCTGAGCAAGCTGCTTAACGGCCATGATCCCAGAGACTCAGAAACAAATCTCAAAAACCAGCGGCTTTCGGCAGAAATGCATCCGGACCACATACAAGGTGGCTGCCTCCTCAGAGCTTATTGGAAATCCAGCTATGGCCAGTGGTGACGGGGCAACTGCAGTCTCATGGGAAGTGGGGTGGTACCTGCTCGTCCTTCATGCCCTACTGAGGTCATGAGTTGCCCCTCTTGAGCGGCTCTCAGGTACAGCCATGGCTCCAGAGGCAAAAGGACTTAGTCCAGAGCCCGGCAGCTTGCAGCAGAAAAGTGAATGGACCATGCGTTAAACTATGGTGCCATGTCTCCCTGGAAGGGATAGGGTGTTGCTCCCTTCCGCCTTCCCCCTCCCACCCCCCAGCAGCAAGGTGGCCGCTGCCCCAGAGCTTATTGGAAAGCCAGGTATGAGCCAGCGGTGACGGGGTAACTGCAGTCTCATGGGAAGGGTGGTGGTACCGGCTTGTCCTTCACGCCCTACCAAGGTCATGAGTTGCCCCCCACGAGTGGCTCTCTGGCACAGCCATAACACCAGACGCACAGAAACCAATCTCATAATTATCTGGTTCTTTGCAGAAATCCAAAATCATTATATGATTCTCATAACCAACTATAGAAAACAAAGTATTTCACAAGGCCTTTTCAGCAATTCTGATTGTTGGCGGGGGGGGGGGGGGGAATTCTGAACAATAATGGTGCATCTTTTGTCAAAAGAATGAATGTAATCAATGTAGAGAAGAGTTAAGTAGAAATCATCTGCCTCACAGGAATTAGGAGGGGTGGGAGGGGGGTATATTGGGGTTCTTGGTGGTGAAAAATGAGTACCGGTGAAGGGAAAGGTGTTTTATCATTGTATGACCAAGACTTAAACCTGAAAGCTTTGTAATTTTTCCCACAATGATTCAATACATAAATATAAGAAGAAAAAAAATAAAATTATGAAGAAAAAAAAAGTAAGGTGGAGTTCATGCCCAATTCAATCAGCTAATCAGTGGCTGAATAAATAGCAGTACTCCTACATTAAAAAAATGAATAAATGAATAGCAGTACTCCTACATAAAAAAATGAATAAATGAAAAAAAAAAAACATTTGCCAATCACAACAAACTGCTTCAAGATGGCAATTTTTTTGGTCCTTGTGGCAGAGCCTGGCAAGCCACCTGTGATGTATTCAATATGCCAAACACAGTAACAACAAAATTTCCAATGGAGACGTTACTGGGCCCGCTCGAGCAAATCGATGAACAACGGGAGGGCCTTTACCTTTACCTTTGGTACAAACATACACTTCTAAAGTTTCTTTTATCAGTAACCTAAGGATCCTCACCCTTTTATTCTGATGTATTTTTTTCTATTCCTTTCCAAATCATACCAAACTTGTTTTGAAAAGCCTGAAGAACTAAAGGCCAAATAAGATATCCGAAGGCCTGAATCTCTACAACAATGTACAATCTGATTCTAGAACTAAACTAGGTCAAATATCATGTCACAACTGGGAAAATTTCAGCATTATAGCCTTCAAATTGATGAAAATCTGAAAATCTTTTATCTTAAGATGTTACTCTACAGAGGTTTTGGACCAATGGTGCTCAGGGGACAATACAGCACCAGTCTTCGCTTCCCCAATTTATAATCCCTACTTTGGGGAATTCTGCATGTGTATGCATGCACAAATTCCCTCAGAAAGGAGAAAGAATGTAACCAGATATGCAATACTTCATATGTGTGAAAGCAGACATGCTCTTATATGAAAGTAGGGAGAGAAGGCAGCCATATTTGAAACACTCCCTATCACAAAGGCTCGGATAATGTAAGGTTGTTAGGTTTCCACTTGTGTTGTACAAGCAGATGATCTTTTACCTTTGGTCTCTAGAGTCACGGGATCAGAATACTCTCCTGCCACAGCCTTGTTACAAGCACGAACTCTGAAATTCATATACTTTGAATCAAATTTTAAACCTGAAACAAACAAAAGTTATTTCTGATCATTGTTAACTAGTAACTAAAAGAATACATAAAAGTATAGGTTTAAACCTTCAAACAGGATCTTTTCCCTCCTTAGAAACAGCTCTTTAGTAAGGAAAAAAAAAAGCTATGTTAAAAAGGTGATACTGCCTGAAATGAAATGACTCATGATTATTTTCTTCAAAATAAATAAACGACATGGGTCATCAATCGTCTTTTTGTCTAGGTATTTTAAAGCCTCATTAAAATGAATATTTTATTTAAGGATGGATGCTGAAATTTAAAATAACATCAACTTCCAAAAAAGTCCCACCAATAAAATATTCAACTTCCAGAAAGTAGACACTCTAATTTTTGTTTTTTTTTTTTTTTTTTTGGTTTTGGGGTTACACCCAGTGAGAGTTACTTCTGGTTCTGCACTCAGGAATTACTCTTGGCAGTGCTTGGGGAATCATATGGGATGCCAATCTGGGTTGGCCATGTGCAAGTAAGAATCCTACCCACTGTACTCTCTCTCCAGCCCCAACACCCCAAAATATTTTTGTATTTATAAAACATTGTCCTTTATGTGAAAACGAACTAATTTATTTTTTGGTTTGGGGGCTTCATCTCTTAGTGCTCAAGGCTTACTCCCAGCAGTGTGCTCAGGAATCATTCCTTGGTGGAGCTCAGCGGAAATTATAGAGTATCTGGGATTGAACCTAGGTAGAATGCATGTAAGACAAGCACCTTACCTGCTATACTACCTCTCCGGCCACCAAGAAATAAGTAAAGTAAAGTAAAGGCCCTCCCGTTGATCATCAATTTGCTCGAGCGGGCCCAGTAACGTCTCCATTGGAGACTTTGTTGTTACTGTGTCTGGCATATCGAATACGTCACGGGGAGCTTGCCAGGCTCTGCCGTGCGGGCGAGATACTCTCGGTAGCTTGCCGGGCTCTCCGAGAGGGGCGGAGGAATTGAACTCGAATTGGCCATGCTGGCTGCGTGCAAGGCAAACGCCCTACCGCTGTGCTATCGCTAGGGCCAGAGCGGCTATAGTATTTCTGCCCATGCACAATAATCACTGAACCACTCAGGCGAACACCTGGTCACTTCAAAATATCCAAGGTGAAATGTATGTATAATGACTAATAGTCAATACACAAATTCTAATGACTAGTGACAGTTCTACTTTAAACATTATGCAACACATAGATAGGCATCATAAGATGGTAAAGGTAATATCAATGAAGGTAAAGGTAAAGGCCCTCCCGTTGATCGTCGATTTGCTCGAGCGGGCCCAGTAACGTCTCCATTGGAGACTTTGTTGTTACTGTGTTTGGCATATCGAATACTCTCGGTAGCTTGCCGGGCTCTCCGAGAGGGGCGGAGGAATCGAACTCGGGTCGGCCATGTTGGCCGCGTGTAAGGCGAACGCCCTACCACTGTGCTATCGCTCCAGCCCTCAATGAAATGTAGGATAATATGTACACTGAAAAAATTAAACAGGTATCTTTTTTTTAAGTGCCTGAAAACTAAGGTTTTTACATACAGTGCCTTATAGGTAATATCCACAGCATTAAAGTTTTTGGTTTTTTTTCATGTTTTAAGAGAAACAAACATACTTTTTGAAATAGATAAAAATCTTGCTAAAAACATTTCAGTAATTTTTAAAGCAATTAAAATATTTTTATGTCATACTTATTTTCTGAGTATGAAATTTTAAAAATGCAGTTCATTTACCTGCAAGTGTATATTCGGTACCCTTAATATTATCAATTTGCTCCCAGCATCGCTCATCTTTTACGCGTGGAAGTCCATCAAAATTTGTCTTCCTATGTTCCAGTGTGTAATGGTCGATCTTATTGTCTTCTTCTGGCATTTTCCAAACTACTGTTACAGCATTGTCAGCCACCAGACACTCTGTGGGTTCTATTTCTGGAGCTTTGGGAACTGAAGAAGGAAAATAAAGTTTCTCATTTCTTAAAAGTACTAAGCAAATTAACGTTTGTCAGTCAAAGTAATGCTTTTCCCACATTGCTTTTAAATACTTAATCAGGTTGAGTAAAGGAATTTCCCATAAATGCAAAGTAATTTTTGTCAAAGTTCAATTTAAAAAATTGTTTCAAAGTTCTTCATCGACTTATGCTTATTAAGATGCCGTCTGTCAAAAAGTCCTTCAGACTTGGCTAGGAATAAAGAATCAAGAATGATTTGTTTTTTCCTAACACATACTTTTAATCTGTTATTTCACAGCAGACATTTTATAAAATATGTCACTATTTGATAATATAAAAATTAAATTATTGATTAGAACAGAGTGGATCTGAACCAAAGGTTAAAATTCAAGATTATACTTTCAATTTTAAAATCTTGTAATTTCTTATTATTGAACAAAAACAGCCACCCCAGATACTTGAGTTTTAAAATGTTTCTCCAAAACAGTAATATGATTCATTAGAGTAAAGAAGCGACAATTAGCTTGCATAAACAATAATCAATTTCTTTTCTATAGAGACTTTTCCAAAGCTCTTCAACGTTAACAGATGTCCTATTTACATAACAAAGGTTAGCTGGAGAATGTGGGCCTCCAGGGACAGATAAGTGTCGGAAACATGTGAAATTTGACACCGGGGTTTGCGTTCTCCATTATGATGCTCACACCAGGGTGGGACTTGTTAGCTGCAGAACTCACACGCATGGTTGCAGAGCTCCAGGGATCACACACAGAGCTAAGGATCACAGCGGCTGTGCCAGGATCACAGTAGACAGGCAGAGCTATGTTCTGTTTTTGTTTTAAATGAAACACCTTGAGATAGTTACAGACTTACAAACTTTGGTGATTACCTTTCATAGTCACCCTCCTGGCCAGCTTGGGGGACCATATGGGAAGCCACATCCTGCCTATTGTAATATTGCTTCAGCCACCTTTAATGCACTTTTAAAGGCAAATTATTTCTGCTAGAAATAATTTTTTTATTAAGCTAAGTTTTGTAGATTTGAGATTTACCTAAAATACTTTTACATTATTTTTCACTGTTTCTTAGTATATATTTAAGTAGGTTTAGAGGTATTCAAGTGGGCATTTATTTGTTAAGTATTTGTATGATTACATCATACAATGATCGAGTACCCATTTGCCATTCTCACCACCAATGTTCCCACGTTCCCAGTATCCCTCCCCCCACCCCCCCCACCCCACATTCCCCTCACCCCCTATTCCCTCCCCCCCCTCTCCTTTGGGGTGTTATGATTTATAATACAGGTAGTAAGTGGCCATCATGTTTGGTCCATAGTCTACTTTCAGCATGCATCTTCTCATCCCAAGCGAGCCCTCCAAGCATCATTCAGTTAGTGGTCCCTTCTCTATCCCAGCTGCCTTTTCCCCCAGCATGTGAGGCCAGTTTCCAGGCTGTGGAGCGATCCCAGGCAGAGCTATGTTGGGGATAGAACACAAGCCTCGTGCATACAAGGAAGGTGCCCTATCAACCTTCGAGTCACCTCTCTGGGCCCCTAATTTTTCCTGCTGTATGAAATTCATCTATGAAAGAACATCATGCTTTTCATTATACTTCATTTGTTCAGACTGCTTAATAGGCACAATCTGCTATCACTGAATACCCAAAAATGTGCACATGAGAAGACAGCTCTTTTTCTTTGTCTTAAGCAGTCCTTTGTTTTGCTCTGCTTTGCTTTTGAGGCCAAACCAAGTAATGCTCAGGGCTTACTTACTCCTGGGCCTGTGCACAAGATGTCAGTCCTAGCGGGACATGGGGGACTGTCTGAAGTGTCAGGGACTGAACTGGGAGGGGTCAGCCACACGCCAGTAAAGCCCCTTAATCCCAGTGCTATGTCTGTGGCCTCCCCAGCAGTATTTTAAAATTTAAATTATAATAGGCCTTAGCTATAGCACAATGGTTAAAGGGCTTGTCTTGGACGTAGCTGGTGCTGGTTTGATTCCCAGACCATATACGGTCCCCCAGAACACTACCAGGAGTGATTTTGAAAAAATTAAATTTAAAAAAGGGAGATCATGCTGGGGACATTCCTGTTGTTTCTTGGTCTGGTGCTTCTTGGGTCTAGCAGTGTTGGGGGCAACTGCGGCCACTATGGCAATGCTCAGGGGACCAGGTGATACTGAAATCAAAGGGTCTCCAAGCACCTGGTATGTACGTACACTCCAGTACTTTGAGACTTTTTTTTTTTTTTTGGTGTACATGCAGCAGGCTACTCCTGGCTCTGCTCGGGGACCATATAGTGTTATGAATCAAACTCAAGTCTCCTCAATGAAAGCATGCATTCCTGCCCTCTAAACCATCTCTGCCCCCTTCATGGGATTCTCTGAATCGAAGTTTAACTACCAATAAAATAATTCTCTAAAATGAAAGACCAGTAAATTTCATTATGCCTTTGTTAAAAAAAAAAAAGAATCACCATTTCTCATTAGCATTTACATCCCAAAGTACATTACCAAAAAAAGGAGTTTATGTATAACTTAAAATATGTAATACATCTTCTTACCTGGCAAAAACTTCAGTGCTTGTAGCATCTGCCTTTCCTGAGAAAAATCCACCATTAAATGACTCATGTTGTCACTAACCTTTGGTTTCAAACAAAGGCGAAAAGCTGAAGCCATTGTTACTCTAAAACAAACACAAAAATACTTGTTCAAAATAAAAGAATGGGAAGCAGTCACACCATTTTATTAAATGGAAAACAGAAATATTTCACTACTTATTTCAACCCTGTAACAAAGACAACAAAACCAAATAAAAATTTGTTCTTGAAGTCTCTTGAAAATTAGTCAAGTAAACTGTAAAATGTTTTCTGAAGACACTTAAGGTCACCTTTTTTTTTTGCTAGGGGAAGGCATTGGGCACAAACTCAGTGGTGGTGCTCAGTGGCTACGTCTGGCTCTGCTCTGGTCACTCTAAGTGCTCAGGGGATCATGCAGGGATCAAACCCAGACCTCCTGCATACAAAATACACACTCCAGTACATTTGGCTATGTCTGTGGTCCTACTTAAGATAACTTCAACTCGCCTCTACACAAATTTATTAAATTGCATACAAATGCAAATATAACAGAAAACAAGTATTCATTATAAATCATCTTCAGTGCACTCAACAGTCATCTGAATCTCTGTATACTCAATCTCGCTGACTTCCTAATCCCAGTCTCATTCCTTTCCAAATGCCAAGTAATGACCTGAACATATATCCTATTTAATTTTCCATATAGTCTCAACTAAGTCATCACCTAAAGAAAAGGTACACTGAACAAACAGAGTCAATTACAGTAACTGCTGAAGGTAGGTCATGGGTAAGAAAACCGTAATCACCACTTTGAGTATCAAGCCAGTAGGTGTCACTCTAATGTATGAACATGTTACACAAAGAGGAGAAAGTGTTCTTTGAAACAATGTGCCACGGAGATCAGAAAACACGTGTCAGATGAATGTGGTAGATATATCTTAAAAGACATACTATACCAAATATCGGTCACTCAAAGTATGGAAAAACTGCCACTTTAAAAAGGAGATTAAGAGAAACTTTTATATTTTATTAGCTTGTCATTTTATCTTCAATTTCAATTTTTTATATTACCATCGATTTTCACAAGTATTACAAAGGCTCTCCTCTTATTATCTTTGGCCAGATAGTGATTTAAAAGTACTATTTATAAATGTTGTCTTCCTCGTATAAGTTTGGAAGAGGCTGTAAATAGTGATGGAAAAACAAGAGAACAAGAGTCATACTTCATACTAGTCATTCAGTTCTGTCAAATATACCCTGGAGATCAATAGTAATAAAAATATCAAAATTTTCAATTATTATTACAGAAAAATCTTGAATTCAATCACTTGGGTAAGGTAAAAGGTAAAGGTAAAGGCCCTCCCGTTGATCGTCGATTTGCTCGAGCGGGCCCAGTAACGTCTCCATTGGAGACTTTGTTGTTACTGTGTCTGGCATATCAAATACTCTCGGTAGCTTGCCGGGCTCTCCGAGAGGGGCAGAGGAATCGAACTCGGGTCGGCCATGTTGGCCACTTGTAAGGCAAACGCCCTACCCACTGTGCTATCGCTCCAGACAAGCACTTGGGTATAAAAATAATAAATTATTTATATATTCATTTACTTTATTTCATTTCAATAATAGACAGGTAATAATTTAACAACAATGAGTCCAAAAATGACATTGTTAAAATATAATTTATGGGAAATAAAGTTCATATTACTGAATGCCAATAGCCATACTTAGTACTTCACACACATTACTTTAAACTGATGGCTCTCAGTGATAAAATTTTAAATTATATCAAGAGTTAGGAACGAAGGCTAGATATTATTCTTCAAAGCCCTAGGTATCTTTTAATTTGAAAATTTTTAAGTGACATTCAGACAAATACTCAACAAATGCCCACTTGATTACCTCTATTTCTATTTAAATGGGGCTGGAGCGATAGCACAGCAGTAGGGCGTTCGCCTTACAAGCGGCCAGCATGGCCAACCCGAGTTCGATTCCTCCGCCCCTCTCGGAGAGCCCGGCAAGCTACCGAGAGTATTCGATATGCCAGACACAGTAAAAACAAAGTCTCCAATGGAGACGTTACTGCGCCCGCTCGAGCAAATCGACGATCAACGGGAGGGCCTTTACCTTTTACCTTACCTTACTAAGAAACAGTGAAAAATAAGGTAAAAGTAAATCTAAAATACAGTAAAAAAAAAAATCTAAATAAATAAAGTAAATCTAAAATCTATAAAACTTAGCTTAATAACAAAATTATTTCTAGCAGAAGTAATTTGCCTATAAAAGTACATTAAAGGTGGCTGAAGCAATATTACAGTAGGCGGGACATGGCTTCCCATATGGTCCCCCAAGCTTGCCAGGAACTTGAGATCCATGAGTACAGAGCTAGGAGTAACCCCTGAGCACTGGGGGTATGGCCCCCTATTTTTAAAAAATGCACTAAAGATTTATGAAAATATAAAAAGTTTTCTTTTCAGTCAATAAAAATTTTAGTTTCCATAAATTAAAGCTAGATGCACAACAATGCTATACTGAGTCTTCTGTTTTTTTAGCTTAATAAATGTAGACCTTAGCTCCCGAAACTATGTAACTGAACATGAGGTCGTAAAAATTTTGTTTAAGAAATGTATGATTGGGGTCAGAGCAGTAATACTGCTGGTAGGGCCTTGAATGCGGCTGACCTGACCCAGATTCACTTCTCGCCACCCCATATGGTCTCCTGGGAAGTGATCCCTGAATACAGCGCCAGGAGAAAGCCCTGACTGTTATGTGTGGCCCAACAATTAAAAGAACAAAAGAATGTAAGATTTATTTTGTGGAATTTCAGGGGGCTAGTTTTAGGCATCTATATGTGTAGGTGTCACAATATAACTCAACCTATTATCTTCCGGTAATACTAAAGCTTCCAAAAGTGTGTGCCTATAAATTATAAAGTTCTACAGATCTGCTGTACATTGGCTTCTCCTTTGGGGATAAGGGTGAGAGGTGGGGATGGGCCATACTCCATACTCAGCACAGTTCAGGGTTTACTCCTGGTTCTGCGCTCAAGGATCACTCCTGGTGGGCGTGGGGGACTATCTGGGATGCCAGGGACTGAACCCTCATCAGCAGTACGCAGGCAGTGCCCTTCCACTGTACTATCATGCCAGTCCCTGGCTTCTCATTTCTATCCTGCATAACATCTATTAAACCAAGGGATATTAATTCTCCCAAATAACTTATTTTTATGTATTTTATATGTACTCAGGTATATAACACATTCTTCCTCGAACTATCACTTCCACACTCAGATAATGCTTTCTTTCCTTAATCAAAATTACTTTAATTAGGACTCTATGCTTAAATTACTTTGTATCATAAATGACACGGATGGTGTCAGTTTGCTTCCTAGAAAAGCACTCAAAACTGCACCAGAGAGATCTAAATATTACAGAGCTGAAATCAAGACTTAAAAAGCCAAGATATGCTCTCTAGTTAGAAAGTAAATATTTAAAATTTATATTTAAAAATTTCAAAGTATACAACTGGGGTCAGAATGATAGTACAGCAGGTCATGTGCTTGTCTTGCGTGCATGGGTTGCCAATGTTTCAAGGCCCAGCATCCCATATGGTCCCCACAAGGACCCTGTAAGATTAATTTCTGAGTGCAGAGCCAGGAAGAATCACTGAGCATCACCAAATTGGCCCAAAAAAAATTTTTTTAAGTGTAGGACTGGCAGGAAGGGGACATCCACTAATTACAAATTACCCATGTAAAACTGATGTCAATTCAAGAGCTTGCTTAGAAGCAGCAGTAAAAAAGTCAAGTTTCAGTGAAGAATATATTGCCAGGAAAACTGATCAAAAATTAAATTCTGAAAAATAAATCTGAGCAAAGAGAAAAAAGTCAGGGATAAGAACAGGATTCTGGGAAGCACAGAACTCTAATGACTCCAGTGAGAAGATTGAGTTAAAAAAAAATGTGCAAGTTCTCTCCCAAAGTCTTAGGGCAGCCCAAAGGCTCATTAGGAAGCACCTTCTACTGCAGAAAATCAAGGACCAGAGTAGATATTCAGCAAAGTCGATGACTTAAAAGAATAATTTAGCTAGGGTACCTACCCAGTATAGCTAACATTTTCACCTTGAACTCTCATAATCTCCTTTTCACATTCAAGATTAACATAAATGATTTTTATCTTCAACCAGACCCTGACATGGGGGCTAGTCTATTGAAGATAAAGTCCTAAACTAAAGAAATATACCAAAAATATAAAAATTAATGTTTGAGATAAGAATGCTATGACTATCATATGAATCTTCTCTCTAGTGAAATAAAAGGCCACGAGAGAAACACAGAATCCAAGTCTGCCCCTCATTTAACAACAGATAAATGGCCTGTTTCATGAGCAACATTGTGAATTACTGAAAAATGATTTAACCTAGGATTCAGAATTATGATCTGAAGACCTGTTTCTTTCAAGAGAGTCTCACAGTGCTCAAAGAAAGAAACCTTCATCGATGATTTCACTATCTGCAACGCTAACGCCAGGGAGATCAAAGTCAACCCTTTACTATTAACTCAATCCAAATATCAGCAGCTATTTTAGCCTTCTGTTGTGCCTATTACAAGACCTAAGCTCCATTTCTTAATCTTAATTGCACCAATAAGAAATATTTTCCAAATCAAATACTTTTTTTTAACATTTTCAATTTTCTCTTCTCATAAACTAAGTAGTAATGGCATTAGAAATAGAGATGAAACCAGGAACAGAATGAAATGAGAAAATGAAGGTGTTAAACAGCAATAAAGTAGGAGAGCTTTAACTCCCGCGGACTGTTGAAATGCCGTGATGTCTCAAAAAACAAGGTATACTTCTCATATTTAAGAACAAAATAAATAAATTTTTAATTAATTAAAATATCTTTGATTATAAATGGTTCCCCACCATTAGCATAACTAGAGACTGTACTAATGCTAACTATGTTATACCAGAAATGAAATTCTTTTAGAAGTCCATAATTGTCTGAAACTGTTTTTTTTTAAAAAATCTTGTTGATTAATGTTTACTCCAGAAAATATATAATGGAAGATTTTTTCTTTTTTTATATTTAGGCATTAGGCATTTTTATTTAAACCAAATAAATGCTAGCAAGAAATTGGTCTTGAATTTCATTTCTGACTTTGATATTGATACTTAAATAAAAATGTAGGTTTTATACCATACCTATCCTTGATCTGTCTGGCAGCCTTGGAGCAAATCAGGGAGAAGAGAAAGAAGGCAGTTAGTGCTTTTCATGCAAGTTTCAATGGCAGTGACATGCAAGATAAGTTAGGACATAAACCATGGAATCGATTAGTTCATATTCACCAAAATATATTACAGGAAATGTACAATTTGCACCAGATTGCACGTGATGTTAGAACTATAGTAGAAAAATTCAGACTTCAAATCAATCACCTTAAAAGAATATTTAATACTTCAAACTAATTGCAAATGACTACATTTGTTCTTACCTTAAGATAATCAAAATACACCTGCACTTTCAGTCTGACACTCTCCAACTAAAACAATATATCTCCTTTATTGTGCACACATTTCTATGCATTCTGATAGTTTTTCGTATACATTTCAAATATGCGCTCCAATTTTTTCTTCAGAGATCTTTTTCACTGTTCCACACTGATTGTTGTAAGTTTTCTCTATATGCCTTCCTTGGGCAAGTTCTTTGAATTCTGAGGACTTGCCTCCTAACATTTCAAACTCAGCTGCAATTCAACAATCCTTTACCCAAAGAATGAAGTCACAATAGCAAAAATACAGACAAGGAGAAACTAGAGAAATACTTCTGACAATGGAGTCTTTCTCTCAAGTGGCTTTACAGAAACTACCTTTTTAAACCTACTCTACATAATATTTTTAGAGGGATGGGTACTGGAGGAATTTAAGAAGGAGGTATAGCTATCACTTGTTGCTGTACAGTCATAAAAATGAAGGATACTGCACATAAAACCTATCATTCCCTTTGCATTTACAAACAATATATCTAACAAAATATTTTTCCCTAGCAAGCATACAATACATACAATGTACCTATTTTGCAGACACTCTACCACCATGTTAACATAAAATTTAGCATATATTAATATTTATCAAAGTTAGCTGAACAGTAACTAGAAGTATGTGACAATACTTCAGTTGCCTTTCTCCTTCAGTTCTGATATTACTCTTACTTTGGACTTGACTCTTGTTGGTTGTTTTGCTTTGTTTTCTTACTGCTTTTTGGTACTCAGGAGACCACATATGGTGCAAGGGATTAAACCAGGGTCAGTCATGTTCAAGGCACGTGCCTGACCTCCGCTGCTATCTCTCCAGCATCAGTACTGGTCACTTCTATGCTGTTTTATAAAAGTAGCATAATGATACAGTACACCTCAATAGAGAGTGGGAAAAAATAAACTGACAGTATGATTCTCAAAAAATAAATAAAAACACTGGTCATTTCAAGCCAGTGTTATCTTCCCACTTATCTTTCTAAATTTCCTAAAATGAAAAACTATTTTGCTTCACAAAATTTTTTTAAAAAATAAAAAATAAATGACAACAATGATTTAATTTTATTTCTAATATTACTTATGTATGAAAGGTGTCATTTCGTGTGTGTGCACCTTTGCCAGAATAAACATACTTTAGAACTTTGTTTGTTTGGGGGCCACACCCAGCAGTGTTCATGGGTTACTCCTGGCTCTGCACTCAGGAATTACTTCTGGTGGTGTTCAGGGGACTATATAAGATGCCGATTGAACCTGGGTGTCAGTGTCATGCAAGACAAGTGTGCCCTACATAGTGTACTATCACTTTAGAACTTCTGAGTTAAAATTTAATGTACCAGAATGGTTTTTTGAGATATTTGAAGCAAGTATAATTCATGCAGTTACTTAGGAAAGTGAATCAAAATTTTGACTTGGAAACAATCATCTGAATACTATATAGACTAAGAAAATAGTTGGAAGAAGTTCTCATTTAATTATTATTATTATTATTATTTTGCAGAGAGGCTACACCAACTAATACCCAGGAATCATTCCCACCTGGGTGCTCACTCAGTGGTCACTCTCATTAGGGCATGGAGAACCACATGGTCACAAGGTACCAGGGGCTAAATCCAGGGGTCCCGAATGCAAAACGTGCATTATAGATTTTTGACTTTTTTCCCCTGGCCCTCAGTGAGTCCTTTATTTCTTGAAAAATAAACTCAAATTTTCGGATATGAAACAATGACAAATTCACATATCTCAAAATGGTTTAAGCTGTTTAGCGTACTGTAAAATGTTGGCAGACAAAACTATAAAAAGCAAAGTGGAACATTTAGAAAACAATTAAGCTACCATGTGATTTATTTTATCAAAACCCTTACAATTTACAATAAGCAGGTACAAATCTGGAAAGAACAAAGGAGACAGAATGGTAAACTTTAAGGTGAAGAGGAAAGAAGGGCTTTGAGAACAGAGCAATCTGGAGAAACAAACTTTTATCAATTATCCTCTTTTGAAGAGTGAGTCATTACTTAACAATCAATTCCTGGAACTGCAACTTTCAGTGAAATGAAAATAATTTTACTGTAGGTTAAGTAATATAAGGGGTTAAGTTCCTGGCCACAAAAAATAGCACTAGGGGGGTGGAGCCATAGCACAGCGGGGTACGGTGTTGGCCTTGCACTCAGCCAACCTGGGTTTAATTCCCAGTATCCCATATGGTCCCCTGAGCACCACCAGGAGTAATTCCTGAATTCCTGAGTCAGAAGTAACCCCTGCGCATCACTGGGTGTGACCCAAAAAGAAAAAAAAAGTGCTCATGCCATTTCTAAGGTAAAGAAATGGAATAATTTGGGAAATAATTTGGGAAAGAAATAATTTGGGACCAGAGCGATAGAAGAACAGGGAGGGCATTTGCCTTGCACAAGGCCAACCCAGGTCCATTCTCCAGCATTCCAAATGGTTCCTCAAGCACCACCAGGAGTAATTCCTGAGTGAAGAGCCAGGAGGAACCCCTGAGCATTGTGGGTGTGACCCAAAAAACAAACAAACAAAAAAAGAAATAATTTTAATTCATTCATTAATTTTTTTTTAATGGGCTGACTCTTGTTTAAGGTCAAGGGCAGCTGGTGTCTATCCCAGTAGCTCAGGGAAGAAAGTAGGAAACCAAAGCTGGATAGGGACCCTTTCATTTCTCAGTGTACACTCAGAACAATCCAGACTCAGACAGGTTAGCACACCAATGAACCTAAGGTGCACATCTTTGGGGTGCAAGAAATCCCAAGGAAATCCACACAGATGTGGGGAAAACAGCAAACTTCACCCAGTGGTCCAGGCTAGTCATTTCTATTTTCTCATTGACATTTTAATGAAAGGGTATTATTCAAAGACCTCATGTACTAATAGTCACATTTGACAATTTTCCTGTCTTCTTCACTATGAGACCATCAGCTGTTAATTCTTGTTACCAAGACTATGCCTGTCATTCACAGCTGTCCCTATTCCACTAGATGAACATCTGTTGATAGAGAAAAAGAACGGAAAATGTAGCAGTACTACAGATTAAGAGTCAAGAGATCCTGAGAAAGAATCATGAATAAATGATATACCCACCATCCCCTGCCTATGAATTCTAGGGTAATCATTCAACATTTGCTTTCTGCAGAGTTCTGGCTATGTTCCATATACTTGAATTCAGCATATAAATGCCCTCTGAAGAGGTGAACACACTTTTTTTTTTCCTGAACTTTAAATCATATTTTATTTATTTTTTAATTTTTTTTATAATTTATTTATTTATTTTTCTTTTTTTTTCCCCCTTTATTTTATTTTATTTTTTTTAAAGTTGTAGATTTACAATTTTTTGTGCTTTGGTTTCAATTATACAATGATCAGATACCCATCCCTCCACCAGTGCCCATTTTCCACCACCATGGATAATATCCCTCCCGCCCCCACCCCCCCATCCCCCCTGTCTCTGGTGAACACACTTTTAAAGTACTTTAAAGTGTGATACATTTTCCTTCTAATTCCTTCATAAAACTTCTACCTAGTGCACAGGCAGATGAACTTTTCTACAACCCTGGAGGAAGGGTTGAATTTGGAGGTGAATATCAACAATTAATCTGTTCACAGCTAACAGCGAACTTGCTGTAGCTCATTCTTAATAAGAATCCATTTCTTGCTTTCTTTAGGGTAGGAAGCAGCCTCCCAACAGGGCAAGGGAAGCGCTAGGGTACTGGGGTAGAACTTGGATCCCGAGTGCTAGCGGGTGTGCACTCCAGACTTTCATCTAGTTCTCTAGCTCCAGGAATCAACGCTTGGGCTTCAGTTTCTAATTGCAGAGATTTAAATTAGCATACGTTACTTTCTCAAAGAAGTTTTTTTACCATTAAATTCACAAACAAATGATAAGATGGAAATACCAGGTGGACACAAATGGATTATGAAGCCACCATTCTAACACAGGTGCATCTCAATATGCTGCTGTAACAAGTATCAAACAAACAGCATCAAACTCAAAAATCAGAATATTACACACAGTATATATTTTGCTATCTATATACGGATAATATTATTAATGAATTAATCCCTGAAACACCTGGATAAAAGCTAAAGCACTAGCCATCTTCTTGCTTTTTTCTTCATATTTTTATACAAAACATACCTTTAAAAATCCAAATTTCATATTTTAATAGTAAATTTTCTAAGATAAATAGGATACTTAATAAAAATTTATCAACAAAGTTCACTTTGTTAAAGTGCTCTTATGCATTAAATGATGTTTTCCCAGTCAGCTCATAGAAAGTACTACAAAATTTGATTTGTTGGAAGATTAATAGCATTTTAAATTTTATTTCCTTAGTTTAGAAATAGTTGTAACAAAGATATGATTCAGTACCATACGGACAGTACATAAGGAACATACATAAATGCCTTATGGATAATCAATATGAATGTAACAAAGAAAATCTAAACTGAACAGTAAAACTGATTAATTCGTTTGTGGCCTTGAAAGACCATACTATATGTCTGCTTTGAACTAAATGAGCAGCCGGCATTTTAATTGTCAAGAAATTCCAAGTCTCTTTTAGTGATAGAAATGTCTATAAAAAGTCCAAAATCAAAAGGGAAAACACCAATTCAAAATACACATTTTTTCCACAGAAAAACTTTTCTTTTTAACTGAATTACTTTAGATTTTTTTGATTGGTATTCTTGTACCTTTGAAAATTCTTCAGGCTCCTTGATACCTAATGACCGTGTTGCAAATTCTAGTAGTTCTTCAGAGTTCTCCAGAGCATTACTGCATTGACCAAGTTGATTCTAAAAAAAATTAATAAAATATCCTATCACCATTAGAATCTTAGATATATTATTATAGTTGACTTCAATAATAGAGACAATGAAATTGTTAAAATTTGGAAAGCGATGGAAGCAAAGTAAATGCTAGTCACGCATGTAACAAATTACATTTTCATATACTGTACCTAATACTTTTTAAAACCTTGCTTAAAATGACTGCACATATAGATATACTCTTCATTCCAAAAAAAAAGAAGTTATAGATAAGTGAGGCCAAAACATCCCCATCAACCAAGACCATCAGAAATCTCTCAATAGCCTCAATCAAAATATTCCATTTGCAGATAATACCTTTGATAATGAAGACTAAACAGTTAAAACTAGGCTGATTATGAATCAAGTTACAAGGATAGTCAACACATTACTCAAGCTATACCTACTACTATAAATGCTCATTTATTAATTTCAATATCACATAAAATGGGAATCACAAATATAAGTGTCTAGATTTCAAAGAGCACGGAGAGAAACAACGGCTATAGTTGTTGTCGCGATGGAATTGTTAATTAGTGGTGTGTTCAGCTCCTGGTGTAACCTTTCATGCAAGAACGGCCACCAAGTGTGCCACTTCTGTGGAGCATCACAAGGAGTCTGGGGTCATGTAACCCCAGGTCGTGACAACAAAGGGAAGGGGAAAAGGAACAAATATTTTTCTTTAATAAATTATGAAGAATAAAAGAATATACAATGAAGAAGGAAAAATGAAGCTCTACTGTAACGACGCAGGAAGAGAAATGTTGCTAACATCCTAGCTGTCACCATGCCCGAATCACACAAGAGCCGTGTCTGTCGGAGTCATGGAGGGTCTCGGGCACCTAGTAGCAGTGAAAGTACAGTAACTTTGTCCACCAATGCATAAATGTTCACGCTAGCATTACCATGTTTACCCAGCTACAAAACTATTTTAAAAAAAATAATTCTTGGGGGCCTAAGTGATAATACAGCAGGTAGAGTGTTTGCTTTGCACAAGGCAGACCCAGGTTCTATCCCCAGCATCCCATATGGTCCCCCAAGCACCACCAGGAGTAATTCCTGAGTGCAGAGCCAGGAGTAACCCCTGAGCATTGCCAGGTATGACCCCAAAAGAAAAAAAAAATCGGGGTCAGCAGGTCTTGCAAGGTGGCCAAACTGGATTCTATTCCCCATCACTCTACATGGCAGGCCAGGAGGTTCCTAAGTACTGAGATTCAAGTGTAAGTCCTGAGCACTGCTGGGTGTGAGCCCCCTCAAAATAATAATAATTATTAGGACTGGAGACAAGAAAGCGAGTAAGGAATCTGCCTTACACATGGCTGGCCTTGGTTTGATATGACCCTGGTTTGGTGGCCCCAAGCACCACCTGGAGTTTGCCCTGAGCAAAGAGTCAGCAGAATGCCCTGAGCACCACCAGGTGTGGCCCAACCTCCTTACCCAAAGGAAAAAAAAAAAGCACCTATGGTGCTTTTGGTGGTGATATTATTATGATGATCATTTTTCTGTATGTAATACTGAATCATCATGCTCTGAAACTAGCATGATGTTATGCGTCAGTTATAAAATAATAGTGTAATGTAACATAAAGAATCAATGAATGCTGAGTCAAGTCACTGTCACTGTCACTGTCACTGTCCTCCCACTGTTCATCAATTTCGCTCAAGCAGGTCCAGTAATGTCTCCATTGTGAGACCTGCTGTTACTGTGTTTGGCATATTGAATACATCACGGGTAGCTTGCCAGGCTTTGCCGTATGGGCAGGATAGTACAGCGGGTAGGGCGTTTGCCTTCAACGCGAAGGCCGACCCGGGTTCGATTCCCAGCATCCCATATGGTCTCCCAAGCTGAGTCAAGATAAGGAGAAATTTTAAACATTCCTTTTTTTTTTTTAATGTAGTAGTACTGCTATTTATTCAGCCACTGATTAGCTGATTGAATTGGACATTAACTTCACCTTACTACTTTTTTTTTTAAATAATTTTATTCATTGAATCACCGTGAGAGCAGTTACAAAGCTTTTGGGTTTAAGTCTCGGTCATATAATGAAACACCCGTATATTCACCAGTGCCCATTTCCACCCCCCCCCATGCCCCCGTCCCACACCCTCCCCCTACCTGTGGGGCAGATGATTTCCACATTATTCTCTCTTTACTTTGATTACATTCAGTATTTTGACACCAGACCCACCATTATTATTTGGGATTTTACCGCAACACTCAGATCTGCTGAAAAGGCAACAGTAGACAATTTGTTTTCTACTGCTGGTTATGAATAACATATAATGTCGCATGGCTGAAGTAGTGGCCATGCGATTTTGAAATTCCGAAATTTTAACACTTAAATCTGGAGGGATTTCTGCCAAAACCTGCTGGCTTCCGAGATTTGTTCCTGAGTCTCTGGGATCATGGCCATTAAGCAGCTTGATCAGGAGCCAGAGAGGCCATTAGCGGGTGGTGACTCAGGGTCTTGTTGGGGTGGGAGGAAAGGGCTGACTCCACCCCCATCCGTGAAGCCCCGGGTGTCTCGTCACTGTGGGCCCAAACCTGACTGTCCAGTGGCCTCTGGATGATGGTGGCCACCAGGCCACCAGGGGGAACAGGTCAAGGCACGAAACCAATTCCCACCTGGAGTGGCCCAGCGCCAGTAACCTACTTGAGGAAAAGGACGCATTTCTGCCAAAAGCCGTTGGGTTCCGAGATTCGTTTCTGAGTCTCTGGGATCATGGCCGTTAAGCAGTTTGATCAGGAACCAGAGAGGCCATGCCTCCAATTACATAGCTGAGCCGGAGGTGGTTTGTGGGTGTGTCTCCCACATACCTAACTTTTGGCCGTTTACTTTCTTGGTAAATTTTGCCCCAAGTTTTTGGGGTCTGGCCAAAGGCACAGCAGCAATTTGGGGGTATCTGAAAGTCTGACAGCGCCATCAGGCTGCTGATGCATTCACCTCACAGGACAGATTGACCTGCTGGTGGCACCATACCCCCGAGAAATTTTAAACATTGTATTCTGCTAGCCGGACAATGAATGTTGCGGCAGCTATGGCAAGCACTATAAAAGTTCCTTCATTATTTTGCAAACCACAGCACCGAATAAGAGAGAGAGAGAGAGAACAAAAGGGAATGACCTATCACAGAGGCAGGGTAGGATGGGGGGGATGGGGGGGGTGGGAGGGATACTGGGATCATTGGTGGTGAAGAATGGGCGCTGGTGGAGGGATCGGTACTCAATCCGTGTATAACTGAAACCCAAGGACAAAAATTTGTAAGTCTACAACTGTACCTCATGGTGTTTCACTAATAAAAATTTTTTTAAAAATGTGCTCGCTTTGGTAGCACATACTAAAATTAGAACAAAATATATATATATAAATAAATAAAAATAAAAGTTCCTTCAAACACTGAACATAAAATTACCCTCCCACTTGTGGATATAGATCCAAAAGAACTGAAAACTGCATTTCAAAACAGTGGCCCACCATGTTCATTGCAGCGTCATTCACAACAGCAGAAAGGTGAACTCAAGCAAAAAGGTGAAAATAACTTGAAAGTCCAGAGACAGATGAGTAGATAGATAAAATCTGGCATTCCCATGCAACAGAACATTATGGCACCTGCTCTAAAGTGAGCAAAAACCATGCAATGGGAAGAGACACAAACAGGGATTTGTTTGCTAGAACCAGAGCTTGTTTTGCAAGATGGAAGAAGTTGTAGCAATCTGCTATACAATAATGTCAAGAGAGTTAACTAGTCACATATACATTTAAAAAATGATTAAGGAAGGGTAATAGTTACCAAAGAAGTTTTCATCACAGTATATGTGTAAAGTTTAGCTTTACACAAACATTTGCTGATTTTTGTTTTCAATACATTGAGCGTTACGAATTTAATAAATTGAGCACTGTGAACTGAGCATCATAAACATGAATTTAAATCCATTATTTAAATGGATTGCATCTCACCTGTAACTCGTGTGATTTACGAGATTGTTCCTGCTTGATACTGTTAATCATGCCTTCTTTCACTTCATCCAATACAGAGTATAAACTATCAAATTCTTCATCTAATTCTGAAAGTATGTTAGCTGAATTTTCCTGTTTAGTAAACAAAATAACACAATTACTTTACTCAGCTGTCAAACAGATAAAGCACAAAACATATACTTTCCAAAATATACATTCATATTATAAACCGTCTCAATCTAAAATAAAAACAAAATTCTAATATTTGGCAGGCAAATTGAAAACACTGGCTGCCAATGCTGACAGTCTGACATCAGCTGTGCTGAGTGGAGCAGCCTTTTTATAGACCAGCTCATACTTCACTCTGACACTTGTTGCACAGGACAATGTGAAAGGTTGTTTAAGGACTGCCTACTTCGACGTGACTTTTTTTCAGACTCGAAGGCAGACCCCAAACCAGTGTTTCTCAACCTCTGTTGTGCATTGGAATCACTGGTGAGGCATCTGAAGAAATAAAGACTTTGATTCTATACCTCTCTGCGACAACTTGGTCATATGAGTATGAGGCTAGACTTGTATTAAAATTTTAAAATCTTTTTGTTTCTCTAAAGCACTGTGTTTACATTATAGATATGTGGGGTGTGTGTGTATGGGTGTGTGTGTGAGTAAACTTCAAATTACTTAAGCAATTCTTCACTGAATCCTAAGGTATTTGTCAAATGTTTACTTTTATTGCTGAAAGGGTCAACAGAAATAAGGTAGTGACTAGAATTCGTACTTTAACTCCTAAATTTTACTAAAACATCAGAAGTGACTTGTTCGTTGCCACATAGCCAAGCTACTAGCAACAGAAGCAATAAAGCATTTCTATTCTGTGGACTTCCTAATGCCACACTAAGCAAGACACTATTTCAATAAACTGAACTGCAAATTCATTAATCAAATTCACATTTCCAACAACTCTGAGAAAGAAAAAATTTTATCTTTGTGTGTGTGGGGGGGGGGGGGGGAGGTCACAGTCAGTGGTGTTCAGGGCTAAATCCTGCCTGTGTTCAGGGATCACTTTTGGAGAGGCTCAGGGGACCATATGTGGTACCAGGAATTCAAACTGGGGTCTGATGATTGCAAAGAAGTGCCTTAATCCCTTTGTTACTTCACAAGCCCAAGAAATTATATCTGAAGGCATATTCACCTCAGATAACTCATTCAATTAAGAGAAGGAGATTGGCATTACAAGGGAGAATTCATCTATACAATCTACTTTAATCACAGTCAAAAACCTTTGTTATAATGTTTACAACTAGCCATCATCTCATTGGAGTCTGACTCCTAAAGTGGCATTGAACATTTTACTCGTTACTTTATGCTGGAAAGAACGTGCTGTGGAATAAGGAATATAATATGTTTGGGGACTGGTAGGCATAAGACTTAAATTAAATATGGGATGAACCACTCAGAACAGTATGACTTAGGACAAGCCATTTCAAGCCTGGACCTCGGATTATTCATCTGTAAAAAAGAAACCATGCTGTACTTTCCCCCTTCAGTAACAGACATATTCTTCTTCTTCTTACTTTTTTTATTTAATGTAGGAGTACTGCTATTTATTCAGCCATTGATTAAGCTGATTGAACTGGGCATAAACTCTACATTACTTTTTTTTAAATTTTTTAAATTGGATATTCATGAGACAGACCATTACAAAGCTGTTCATAATTGGGTCTCAGTCATACAATGACCCAGCACCCATCCCTCCACCAGTGTACATTTCCCACCACCAATGTCGCCCGTCTCCCCACCACCATTCCCCAAACCCCCATCCCCTAACACCAGCCTCTCTCTATGGGAGGCACTTTCCTCCTTGATCTCTGTCTCCTTTTCCTTTTATGCACCATGGTTTGCAATACAACAGACATACTCTTTTTCTTGGCTGTTAGGGGGTGGAGGAGAAGGGTTTGCTTGGGTGCTCAGGAATCATGCTTTGTGATGCTCAGCGGACCGTATGCACCACTGAGGATGGAATCGAAAACTGAAAGAGGGTGAGACACACACAAGACCTTAACCATTATACTCTTTCCAGCCTTTCATCATTACCTAGACCTCTCATTCCCTCAATCTAGGTTGCAGCTTAATTCTCTTTTCTTGGATTCGAAGCTAGAGTTCTACTACTTTGCTAACGAGAGAAATGGAGTAACACTGTTTGTGTGTGTGTTTGTTAGTTTGTTTGGGGGTGACACCAAGCCGTGCACAGGGAGTTTGCCCAGATCAAGGTGGGGTGGGGACTCTTAATAGTTCGAGAGGATGGTGCGATGCCAGGGAGCGAATACAGGCCCCCTGCACGCACGGCATGTGCTCCAGCCACTTGAACTATCTCTGTTTCTCCTTATAACCATTTGATGAATCTCTTGTCAACAGATCAAGCATTTTGGAAACACTAGCTCCGCTTAAGTGAAAAGTGATAATAATGAAGTGGGTCCATCAAATTTTACAACAAACCGTTAGAGTAGGAAAGATCATAAATCAACAGCAATTTTTTAAAAATTCAGACATAAAGGAGAAAAAGGTAAAAGTCAACCGCCAAGGACCAGGCAAGTACCCAGATGAAAATAAGCTGAGGCCTGAGAAACAGATCAAAGAGGTGAGCTGCTCCGCATGTGGAATCCCTGGGTTTGAGCACCAACACAGACTGGTCCCCCAAACAAGCGACCCCAAGCATAGAGCTAGGAGTGACTCCTGAGCACTGTCTCCAAGTGCCCTACAAATTTCCTGTGCTTGTTTCAGAAGAAATGACTCTCGTACTCATGAAGGCACACTAATGGGAAAATGTCACTGGATTACTTGACCATTCCTTCCAAAATCAGCATGTAATTAACCTATGAAGGGGTCTGCCCAAACTTGGGACCATTTCCTTAAGTAGTTCTTGTCCTTCTCTCTATCCATTCCTTTAACCTTAAGGAGTTACTGTATTTACTTTTGGTCTTTTGGATGATATCTGGTGGTGCTCGGGGTCTACTCGCAGAACACTTGGGAGTCACTCCCAGCAGTTCTCCAGAGACCATCAAAACTGGGGCCGGAGTGATAGTACAGCAGGTAAGGTGTTTGCCTTGCACATGGCCAGCCCAGATTTGATCCCCAGCATCCCATACTGGTCCCCCCAAAACTGCCAGGAGTAATTCCTGAGTACAGAGACACCCCCAAAACTGCCAGGAGTAATTCCTGATTACAGAGACAGGAGTAACCCCTGAGCATCACCAGGTGTGAGCCAAAAAAACAAAACAAAACAAAAAAACAACTAGCTCTCCTACAGGCAAAGACTGAGCACCAGCCCTCTCAGCAACATAACGAACCTTTATGTGTTACTTTAATCTATTTCTACAAAGAGACTTCCTACTACCTTTCCTTCCACCTTTTACCAAAGAAGAATGCTTTGTTCCCAATAATTTAGAAAAGATATCATTTGCTCTTATGGAATCAAAAAGGAAAATTGCAAACAGATATGGTTGAATAGTGAGCACAACAAGAGTTCAAAGCAATTATTTTTTTCTGAATTTTCTTTTCCCCTTTATATTTTTATGGAGGCCATGGGGAATTTGCTTATCTGACATTTTAAAACCTTGCTTTCACAACTCCAATAGTTTATCGTCCCTTGAGTCTCGAGTCTATACTTACTTCTGATAGAACCTGATAATCATTCATTGACATGTTTACACAAACTTTTTAATGAAAGATTCATACCTGTACCCCGTGTAGTGTTTGATTTAGTGTATCAATAAAGTTCTGAATTTCATCATTTTTATTTGCCAGAGTTGAAATTATCCTTTGCAGAGCTTCCTAGGATTAAAAAAAAAAAAGTAACATAATGATAATGATACCTTATTAAAGAGAAATAAAAGTATTATTAACAATAAGTCTCTATACACTTTTAAATGAGTACATTAAATAATAACATAAAGCAATGTAAATAAAGTGCAAATATTCTCACTGTTAAAATTCCCAAAGCCTGTAATTACAAAAAATGGACATGATTTTGTACTGTGTTAATACCTTTTATTCCCAGTATACAGCTTAATCAGCATCATTCCTTTCATTATATTAAAGGTGACTGATATTAATTTAGCTCAATAGTAAATGGGGGGCCGTCGGGCCACACCTCTTAGTGTTCAGGACTTACTCCTGACTCAGTGCTTATGGATCACTCCTGATGTACTCAGTGGACCACATGGGGTGCCAAATATTGAACTCAGGTCAGCTGTGTGCAAAGCAAGTGCCCATCCTGCTGTACTCTGAATCTCAACAGTATTAAGGCCACAAGGCCATGCCAAAGAGACAGAAATACCTCCTTAAAAATTATAAAGACAATGGGCTGGAGAGATAGCACAGCGGGTAGAGCGGTTGTCTTGCACACAACTGACCCAGGTTCGATTCCCAGCATCCCATATGGTCCCCCGAGTACTGCCAAGAATAATTCCTGAGTACATGAAATAGGAGTAACCCCTGTGCATCACTGGGTGTGACCCAAAAAGCAAAAAAAAAGAGAAAAAAAGAAAAATTATAAAGACAAATGGAAATTTCTGATATATCAGGGTCACTGTCACTGTCACTGTCCTCCCATTGTTCATCAATTTTCTCGAGCAGGCCCAGTAACGTCTCCATTGTGAGACTTGTTACTGTTTTTGGCATATTGAATACATCACGGGTAGCTTGCCAGGCTTTGTCATGCGGGCGGGATACTCTCGGTAGCTTGCCGGGCTCTCCGAGAAGGGCAGAGAAATCGAACCTGGGTCGGCGTGTGCAAGGCCAACACCCTGCCCACTGTGCTATCGCTCCAGCCCAATATATCAGGGTGTGAGGAATAAAAACACAGAAACACTAAGATATAACATAATTTTTGAGTTATAAAAATTTTTTAATTTAGAAATAAGAGTATTATTCACTGTTAAATTACATTTACACTGTTTTCATATGCTATAGGACCAAAATAAATAATCTTAGTATTAAATATCCTCAATCCTTGATAATACTTCCTACTAAAAACACAATTATAGGACTGGGTATGTGACTCAAGTGATGGAATAAAATGCATTACATGCTTGAGGCCCTGCATTTGATTACTGGTATTGCATGGCCCCACACCACCACAGCCCCTCCGTACCACACTAAAAGACACCACAACAATTAACAAAAAACACTTGGTTAAAAGGGTCAGGCAGAATAGGAATTAAGATGCTTGCTTTGCATAAGGCTTATGCCAATTTGATCCCCAGCATAGCACATAGTTCCAAGTACCACCAGGAGTGACCCTGAACACAGAAAATCAGGAATAAACCCCAAGCACTTTGAGTAATAACCCCTCCCCCCAAAATCACAAAATACTCGGTTATTTAATTTTTCCATACTCCCTAGTTCAGCAGTGCTGTCCAATAAATTTTCTGCTATGATGAAAAGGTCCTACATATGTGTTGCCAATATAGTAATCATCAGCTTCATGAAGCTAATGACCTGCTGAAATGTAGCAGAGCAAATAAGAAATTAAATTTATTAAGAATTTTTTCTAAATATATCCATGCATAGGCACATGTTGCCAAGTTTGGTCATACTGGACAGTACAGGTGCAAGTTATTCAACAACTCTTCATGGGCTGTAATAGTAAAAGCCAAACAAATTACTTGTTTCCTCAGTCAAAATGAAATGCAGGGGCCAGAGAGACAGCACAGAGGGTGAGGTGCTCACCTTGCATGAAGCAGCCCCCAGTGCAATTCCCGCACTGCAGATAGTCCCCTGAGCAACACTAGGGCACTAGAGGTCAATCCTGTGCACAGAGCCAGGAAAAGCCTTTAACACTCATGATGTGACCCCCAAACATGGCTCCACACACACACCAAAAAAAGGAAAAATACAAATCCTTGGGGATTGGGGTGATTTGGGTTTTTTTGTTTTGTTTTACTTATTTATTTGCTTTTTGGGTCACACCCAGTGATGCACAGGGGTCACTCCTGGCTCTGAACTCAGGAAATATCCCTGGCGGTGCTCAGGGGACCATATGGGATGCTGGGAATAGAACCTGGGTCGGCCGCATGCAAGGCAAACGCCCTACCCTGCTGTGCTATCACTCCAGCCCCTGGGGTTTTGTTTTGTTTTTGTTTTTTTGTTTTTCTTCTTGGTGGTAGCAAATATTGAACCCAGGACCTCATACATGCAAGGCAAGTAATTACCATAAATAATATCCTCATCTCTCAAATAAAAATACTTTTCACTTCATATTTCATAATTTTCTGATAGGCACAATTCTTGTTTCTGGTAAGCATCTATAAATGCAAATATTTTAATAACTTCCCCAAACAATTTGAAGGAAGAATGTTCAGTCAAAATAGAATATCAATAGAAAGCCATATTTCAGTGGCTCTGGTTGAAAATTAATGGGTAACTTTTTATAAATTTTATATAAGTACTATAGCATTAGAAAAATTAAAAATAATTATAAGAGTTCCCATTTAATTCTTTCAACAATCCCTGGAAGTAAGTATCAGACCATCCTTGATTGCTTATAGCTCTGCTGTATTCACTTTCCTCTCTGTACCATTTCCTCTCCTCCCCACCACTAGGGGTATTTTACTAAAACTGTCACTGTCCTCCCGGTGTTCATCGATTTGCTCTAGCGGGTCCAGTAACATTGTGAGACTTGTTACTGTGTTTGGCATATCGAATACATAATGAGTAGCTTGCCAGGCTTTGCCGTGCGGGTGAGATACTCTCGGTAGCTTGCCGGGCTGGCCGAGAGGGTTGGAGGAATCGAACTCGGGTCAGCCGTGTTGGCCACGTGCAAGGCAAACACCCTACCACTGTGCTATCGCTTATAGTAAATAGTTGTGTTGGAAAAAAAAGATAATGATACCAAGAGTTGGTTAATATAACCTGTCAGTATTCCTCCCAGAAATGAGCGCGCCAAGATCTGAATTCAAAGGCTAGAAGCAGGGAGTTAGTATCGTGGTTAGGGTTCAAGGTGAGCATGCACAACCCAGGCCTGATTCCCGGCAAAAGGTCGCCTCCTCCAGCATCATGAGATGCAGCCCAGGAGGGCTCCAATGACAGCATTGAATACTCCGGCCCTTGCATTTGCAGTGGGACACCACAACCTGAGCAGTGCCTGGGAGGCCAAACAAACAAGTGGATGAAGTAACAGACTACAGGCCAAAGGGCAGGGTGGAGTGCTGGCTTGGGGAGGGATGGGCCCAGCTGGAGGGTGAGTGTGGTAGTCCAGAGACTTGGAGGACCGGAGCAACAGCACAATGGGGAGGGCATTTGCCTTGCATGCTGTAGACCCAGGTTCAATCCCCAGCATCCCATAGATCCTGAGGAATAATTCATACATCCCAGGAATAATTCCTGAGTGTAGAACCAGGAGTAACCCCTGAGCATTGCCTGGTGTGACCCACCCCTCCTCCAATAAAAAGCAAAGATGTGAAAAAAAAGCAGGCAGAGGACACAGAGCCAAGGTTTTCAGCGACTAATCCAGGGACCATTACTGTCCCAAGTATAAAAAGGCTTTAAAAAGCACTGCCTTCGAGTGTTCCAATAACTCCTTCGAGATAGATTCTGCATGTATTTTAAAGTAACACAATGCAGTAGTTGAAAAGGTTCTGCACAATGCACAGTGTGTGGAGAAAACTTCAGTTAAGATTGGGCTCTTTTTGGTTAATGGACTGTAATATGTCTTCCCTTTTATCCCTCTTACTGGCAGGGTTACATTCATTTGTACGAATGAGACAATGGAGATTCAAACACACAATCAAAATGGCACTGCAAGGTAAAAATTACTGTTTCCAAGGCTCATGCACTTAACCACTTTAGTAGAATACTGCTTTTAAATCTAATCAATGTGCCTATCCAAGGGTAAACCCTACCACAGAATTATACAGCCTAAAAATTTGAGTTTGCTGAGACATTTTCATGCTAGAGAATGAAACCCCAAGGCTCCCAATAATGCCTGTGCTCTACTGCTAAATCACAACCCAGCCCTATTAAGACTGCTGAGTGACATACAAGACGGATGGCATTTTTATAGGACAGAATTCTGTCCTACAAAAGCTTCAATTTTGTGTCCACTGTGAAGCACACAATTGTCTTCATCACTGCCAAGCACAGCTAGCGAACTTCGAGGTAGAAATGGCAATATTCTATCAGAAAAGGAGTTGCAGTGTCTTCTGTAGATCTTACTCTATGAAAGGAACAAGCCATTAAAGAGAAACAGAATGGGAGAAAAAATGGTTAAAGACTCTGGAATCTGAGAACTGGTTTACAGAGCTGGGTTTACTGAGTGCAGGAGTGGGAACCTGAGACAATGATGAGGGAAGCGGACATTCTGGTGGAGGGTGTGGCGTTGGAACATTGTACATATGAAACCCTACCATTAGCCGTAATGTAAATCAGGGTGTTTCAAATAAAAAAATTAAAACAATAGGTAAAATTAATTTTAGCATTTTATTTAGTTCAATGTACCCAAAATATTTTCATTTCAATAGGTAACAATTGTTAAATTTTTCCTTTCTTCATTCTCTTCCTTCCCTCTTTCCTTGCTGGTAGTGAACCTTCAAAGTGTTTTACACTCACAACACATCTCAACTCAAAGTACTAAACCAGAAAACCAGTCTTAATGGCTATGAAGCTGTATCGTCCAAACAGTCGATATATTTCTAAGACTGTGAATAATGCAGACATTCCATATTTATTTGATTAATGTTCAGTTAAGAATGAACTATTTTAAAGTTTTTTAAACTTACGTTCTTGAAATAAGAAAATTTCTGTATGTGCTTATAACATACTAGATTCTAAAA